TCTAAGCAATATGTCCATTTTTGGTGAAGTTATTTAATTTACAAGGCACCCATGTCATCGAAACGGTTTTTTGGAGTGCACCTGGCACAACCTAAAAAACAAAATATCACATGTCAAGTCATGTGACATTGTTTACTGTACACACTAGTAAACAGACTGACATCGCTGGAGCATAAATACCAAAGGATTTTGCATTATAATGCCCCCAAATCTAAAATGCGAGCCTTATCTGCTTCACAAACTGCACAAGTCCTTTCCCTCATTGATTCTGGTCACAGTGCTCACCAGATTGCATCTACTACTGGCCATGGAGCTTCCACTATCACTCGGCTCTGGTCTCAACACCGTCCTGATGTCCCTAAGCCCAGTGGTGGGCATCCACGCAAGCTGTCAGGGACTGACATTTGCCATGCCCAATGCCTCATTAACTCTGGCAAGGCTGACAACTCTTCCCAAGTCACCCAAATGCTCCGAAAAATTACCAACAAGAGCCTCTCACCTGAGACTGTCCGCCTGCACTTGAAGGAAGCTGGTTGGAAAGCAGTGGTGAAGAAGAAGCGGCCTATGCTGAGCAGGAAGCATAGAAAAAACAGAATGGACTTTGCAATCAGCCACAAGGAGTGGACTCTGGAGGACTGGAAGAGAGTGGTGTGGTCAGATGAGACCAAGGTTAATCGCCTGGGCTCAGATGGGAGGAAATGGGTGTGGAAGAGGGTGGGTGAGCCTCTCAGTGACAGGCTGGTGCAAGGGACCAAAAAGTTTGGTGGTGGATCAGTCATGGTGTGGGGATGTATGATGTGGGATGGGGTTGGGATGGCATGCAAGATTGATGGGAGGATGGATGGGGAGCTTTACTGCCAAATCCTGGATGATGAACTCCAACAAACCCTATCATATTATGGCAAGAACCCTGCCCATGTCCTCTTCCAACAGGACAATGATCCCAAACATACCAGCAAAAGGGCCCATAACTGGTTCAACAATCATGGTATTAGGGTCATGGAGTGGCCCTCCCAGTCCCCAGACCTCAATCCAATCGAACACTTATGGAATCATGTGAAAAGGAAGCTTGGGGAGTATGAAGAACCTCCAAATAGTGTTCATGAGCTGTGGGATCGGTTTCAAGAGGAATGGGACAAGATAGAGCCAAGGATTTGTCAGAATTTGATTGAAAGTATGCCTAGGAGAATTGAGGCAGTGATTAAGGCAAAGGGTGGCTATACCAAATATTAATAAATGCTATTTTCTTCTCCCAAAAATCAACTCCAAAAAACCGTTTCGATGACATGGGCACCTTTTAAATCGAATAACTTTACCAAAAATAAATATATTGCTTAGATAATTTGTATATCTGTAGATGAGATAGCAAGTAATATTCCATGATTTTATGGGAATTTTAGAACATGTTTCCATAATACTATAAGCCCATCAAGTGAAAAGTGCCAAACATTGAAACGGTTTTTTGGAGAACTGTAACAGCACCTGGGGTGGGAACAGAAGAAGCAGCCTTCTTCTCACTTTCCCACTTCAGACTAAGTGGTCAGGGATGCTCACCCCACGATGGGACCACCACTACACATAGCCGCTACTCGTCCCATCAAGTCCCCTGCACTGGGACTTTGCCGCTTTTGGAGCTGTCCCTGACACTGCTTCTTCCATATCTCCATCAATTCTCCACTGATCTGGACGAATCTGGTATCGTTGGAAAGCCCTTGTCAACATGAGTCGAACGATGTCACGAGTGCTATGGTTCTTTATTTCCTTAACTGTCAGGGTTCAGCACCCTGCCTTAGGGTGCCCCGGACTCCCCACCTACTTTACCCCCTTTATTCTTTGACTGTTGCCTTGTTGTTGCCTTTGTGTGTTGTGTACACGCACGCATGGGATAGCGTGGGAACTTTCTGAGCGAGCAGCTCACCCAGAATGTTCCCACAGGTCACAGCCACAATTCTGGGCAAGCAACTCGCCCAGAACGTTCCCACGCTTACTGGGCACTGCCACCTGGATGTTCCCTCCGGGTCACACTACACAACTCTAGGAGCTGTATAGTTGTGGGCATGTGACCCATTCCTTTATATAGCAACCATGCAGGGAGATGAGACCTTTACCCTTCTTCTCATCTCATGCCCTGCATAGGCAAGTGTACATATTCTATTTCCTTTACTATACATCTCATGCCCTGCATAGTGTGAGGACAGGTTAGATGGGGGTTGAGGTCAGGGAGCCTCCGAGTCCGAGGCTGGGCCCTGACATTAACAACATCAATATTGCTTTGATATTGTTGTTTTCTTATTTGTTCCTTGTGGATCTGTTGCTGTCCTAAACCCATCAGATCATTTGGATTTCCATGTGTATTTCTTTCATATTTATAGCTACCTCTTTCCTGTATTTTACAAAGAAGACTCCCCTGAAGAGAGAGGTGCTCCCCAAAAACAAACATGAAGCAAAAGAAGCCCAAGATATAGTGCAGGGACAGAGTTCCCTTTAGTTTGATTATCAGTGAGATTTACAAGTTTATCTTTCTTATCACATAGCACCCAGACCATTTTCTCCCTCCTCCCTTCTCATCATCTGAACCTCCCTTGAGCATACACAACCTGTGGTCCCCTCACTTTCTCATTAGGGTGGTAGATCCCTTGCCCCCTTACAATGTCCCAAAAGATTTGCAACTCCACCATGACCTGGTCTGACTTCACCATGACTCAGTGACAACAGGACACCCAGGATGGTGGAAGACCCTAGAGCTCATCTCCTGCAACTACTGGTGGTCCAGGATGTCCCAGTATGTTGCCCAGTACATCTCAGGGTGTGACACCTGCAACTGAGTGAAGGTGTTCCCATCCTGAAAGGTTGGGAAGCTCATCCCAAACAAAGTTCCCTCCCACAGGTGGCAAGTAATCTCAGTAGACACCATTGGTGAGCTCCCAGACTCCAAAGGATACATGCAATCCTGGACTGACTCTCTGTCAGGGCACGGCCTAACCGGCTACCCTGACTCCCTATGCCGGAAGGGAGTTGCCGTAAGACGATCCGGAGTGATCCGAAGAACGCAGGTAATCTCGCTTAGCTTTCGCTTAGCTCCCGCTTCCTATCTTCCGTCCACATGTCACCCCTTTCCCACACCTCGCTTACGATTATCCGAATGAATAGCTATCTTTTCATGTCGTCATTCTATCGGTTATCTTCTATCTCGTTGTAGCCGCACTCTAGTGGGTAGCGGTACCCATGTATATAACTCCTATCTCCGCTGAGGGTGGCACCTCAGCATTAACAACAACTAGGATTCTCGGGAACGCCCTCATCGTCATGAACTGACACGCAGTCCCTGACACTCTCCAAGTGCATTCATGCAATCCCTACAGTCACCATGGTGGACTCAGCAGGCATAGCCTGACTCTTCCTTGAGCATGTCTGGAGACCCCATGGCCTCCCAGAAGAGGTGCTTAGCGACCAAGGCAGTGCCTTTGTCTCCCACTTCTCCAGGGAGCTGGCAGACCTCCTAGGGATCAAGCTCTCCCCCTTGACAGCCTACCACCCACAAACTGATGGCCAGACAGAATGGGTCAACCAGGAGATAGAAGCCTACCTCTGTAAGTAGCGCAGCACCACATGGCCCGTATCCCCATCAGGTTCTTCTTCTTTTCCACTTCTGATCTTCTATTTGATCCAGTCACACAGTATCAGTTATGATGCCATGTGATCTTCTATCATCTTTGATCCGCTCCTACCGGTTATTAGTTAGTTGGCTAGTTACCATCTCTACCGTGTATATACTGTATATCCTTTGCTGGCATGGGCATGTCCCCCAGCTTTGCTATCAACTTGGTTTTGGGGGCATCCTTTGTTGCGAGCATGCATGACCCTGACACTTCCCCATCCAAACTAAAGAACCAGGGAACAGCTTGGTGGTGGTCTTGTTAGAACCTCCCAACTGATCTTCCTTCATTCTCTCCTTCACCACTTTGAAGCAGTCAAGGTCCTCACTTGCACCAGCAAAGGCAGTGGGGGGGTGACCTTGGGTGCTTTGGGTTTGGGTGCAGGTGTGGGTGGTGGGTTTTGGATTCTGCTCTCAAGGATGGCTTGCAGTTCCTGGAACCTGGTCAGCAGGTCCTGGTACTGCTCCTCGGTCACCATGCTGGAGGAGGTGGGGGAGACTAGGTTGAAGCCTTCTTCTGCTGTCAGGGATGGTGCAGGAGAGGCAGGGGTAGTGGTGTAGCCCCTGGCACTAGCAGCCTGGGTGGCGGCAGAGTAATGGGAGTATATGGCAGGTAGCCCTCACTTGGGCTCACATCCCTGTCTGGCTTCTTAGGCTGAAGCAGGAATGCATTATTATTAAGATGAAAAGCTAAACTAGGTTGAACTACCTGCCTGAAGCGGGAATGAGAAGAAGGCTGCTTCATCAGTCCTGCTTTGGCTAAGTTTATATACATATGAAAACAGGTCATGTGGAGGTGCCATGTCAGCCTTGGACAAAGCCAGGTTGTCATGGGTGACTCCATGGTCGATCCCAGGTGTCAGAGAAGAGAAACACAAGTAAGAATGTGTGGCATGTCCAGCATCGTGGTACCTGTGTGGGATGCATCCATGCTACAGATGTGGAAAAGAGAGAAGTTGTCTGTATAAGGATAGAAAGGAGAGAAAGAAAGAAAGGAGGAAGAAGAAAGAGGAAGAAAGAGAAAGGAGAGGGGAACAGTGCGGCGTGCCCTGACACAGGCTCAAGATGTTTGGACAAGACAATCAGACTATTGTTGTGAATGCACTCAGGTGCTACATACATTTAGGGGGGTATCATTGGGGTTTCCCTTGAATAAGGAAATCCTATTTCATTGAACCTGATCCTTCCAGCAGGATCACATACCCAATAAATTCAAGATGGCAGATTCTTCTGCAATCATATGACAATGTCACACATGCATTAAAAGGTGTCAACATGCCCCTTGGTGATGTTCCTGTGTCTGACCAGGTATTCACAAAACAAACTGAAAAAAAAAATAGAAATAGATTCATGCTGGGACAAGTGAAAGGAAACAAGGGCTGTGCAGAGTCAAGCGAAGCGCAAGCACTCTAGTTTAGCAGTAGTACCGAAAAGACAAATGCAAAAATGATTGAAACATGAGCAAAACAAGATATAGAGCAAGCAGGGAAACCACATAACATGTACGGTCCTTAAATTCACGAATATATAGATGAAATCTAGCTAATACTTCCGTCCACTCTATGACCTGGAAGAATTTCCCCCGGTCATTTGTTGGACTAGTTTAATGCCTCGATTACTAATCCCACTAGATCTGATACCAAGCACCGACTTAGGTCTCAGCTTTAGGGGACTAGTGGTCCGAGGCTCCAAGGGTGAAGTCCCGGCTTCACCCGTTGCATGTGTCTTCAAAGGTGCTATGCTCCTAATCCCAAGAACCGAAATCGGACGACGAGAAACACCACCCGTGGTCTGTGGGCTCAGGATGTTTCCTCCAGTGGATTGCATCTTGAGTGGAGCCGTAGTTCGGATTGCGGAAGTAACGAAAGAACCTGTTCCCGTGAACTGACGGCGAACAGGACTAGCTGATCTTGTACCAGTGAAGTGGGTCCGTAACGGAGCTAAATCATTGACGTCTGGGAACGCGAAACTGGACGAGGTGGAAGATGGAGAGAGCGGTCCAGTTGATCCTCCAGTAAACTGAGTGACCAGTGTGCCAACTCTCCCTCCGCTGGTAGGCGTCGGCGAGAAGGTAAGACTTATCTTTCCCCCATTGCCGGTGTCATTCGGCTGAAGAGCCCCTCTACTCGGCGACCGACGAGCCCTCAGCTCGGCAGGCAGCATTAGCTGTAAGTGGGAATATAAGATTGCTTGATGGAAATTAAAATGGACACTAGACAAACCAAGCATTCATTGCACCACACTTGGCCATCGCGGTCGGATCTTGCCTGGCTGTCAAGCTTCTTGCCACAACCTGCCTGCGGGTCTCCATTCAGTCGCTGAGCTTCCTTACGAGCTCGCCAGTCCTTCCCACCACAGACAAGACACCCTAAATGCCACTTGCTGCCCTGAGGACCTGGTACAACGCCTTTCTCCATCTGGAATACAGTTCGCCTGCATCCACCACAGGCGAAACGACCCGATGACACAGGAGAAACTGGCGCAGGAGGAGTCACCGCTCGAGGCGAAGATCGGACCTTCTCCCTCAGACCGAACTTCGGTGCTTGAATCTTGGAATTTGGTGGGACCGTGCTCATGCGGTCATATTTCGGTACCTCGCGACCATTTGATGGGACTGGGAACTCTTTGCGAATCGTTCGCAATGGCGATGCGCACTTGAACACTATCAGTTTGACAATTGAAATCTACATGGTACGCAATGACTTACAGAAACATGAACCGCTTTCCCATTCTCCCTTACAAAGTTAGTTCTGCCATCCAATTCGCCGAAGTTATCACCACACGTGGCGCATCTGAAACATGCATGGTGATATCTTTCTACGTGGATGTCCTTATCACTATCGCGATTCGAAACGGATTCAACTTCCTGATCGTCGTCGTCGGATGCTTTGCGGGACTTTGGGACTGTAACAATGCGACCTCTCATATCTTGCACTAGGAGTGGACGAGCGCAGCCATCACACTTAGCATTCAAGAGGGCTTCTGGGGTTGTAAATTTGTGAAGCGGAGAAGAGAGGCTAGAGGGTGTTCGAGGCGAATTAACCTTCTGACTCCCACTTGGCGGGGTAGTTATATTGGCCACACCCTTTAATAATGTAGACGGCGTCGGCAATTTTGATGAAGTCCCAGCCACCCGTTTCTGTGGTGTTATCACCCTTGGCAGTGTTGAAACTTTCGCTAGCGGCGAGTCCATCATAATGATGGCTCGAGTGAGAGGAGAACGGACTTGTTCTTCGGGTAAGGTTGAGCCTGAGAGAACAGATGGAGAAATATTGAGTACAGAAGAGGGTGTACTCCAGCGAGGCTTGACGCTTTCGCGTCCAAGGGGAAGCGATGAGATTGATGTTTCGCTTGTTCGTGGGGTCTGAATCGGCAAAGGTCTGGGCGAGTCAGGTGTACCTCTGAACGTTGGGATCAAGCTAGGACGGCTCCTATGAGCAGACCTGCGGATGGGAGTGATGGAAGGTGTGGTGCTGCGATCATCATCCGCATCGAACCCGCTGGCACCAATATCCTCTAGTAAATCTTTCCCAGAGGGGCTTGGTGGCGAGTTTAAGACAGATGTGAAAGCCGTAGATGGGGCAGAGACAACGGACGAAGCATCTGAGTCCACCACACTGGGTGACATGGATGAAGATGACTGCGTGCTCAAGCTATTTGCCAGCGAGGAGTTGACGAGCGAACGTGTTAAAGGCGAAAGGGAGGAGGTGGTCGCAACTTCGGATCGAGGAGGTGGTGGGGGAGATGGGGTAGTAGGTGGTAGTGGTTCGGCCTGTGCCTTGATGAGTGAGTCCAGTCTTTTAGTTAGGCGCTCGATGGTAGGGCTGAGTCCCCCATTTGTCCGTGGTGTCGGTTTCGGGACATCCCTGGAGACGGGGGAGGAAGCACCTGAAATGGACTTCGTGATTCCCAGCCGCAATTCGAGCTCCTCGACAACAGGGCTTCCTTCTCTGCTGGGGGAACCTTCTTTCGCGCTCTGACGTACGCCACCAACACTTGCGCTGGAGCGCGTCCGATGCCGCTTTGGACTTGGTGACCCAGCCCGAAGGCATTCATCAAAACACGTCTCACAGCATGGTTTGCCTGTAATATCAACCATTGGACTCTTTGAAATGTCCTTTCCGCAACCAGTGCATCGGAAACATGACGGGTGCCAGATGCGTCCAGCATTCTCTACAGGTTTACCACCTTCCTCCTTGACGAGCGCGTACACTGGTTTATGACATTCCTCACAAGTGCCCCGTGAGGCAGCAGAATCATTCCGAAAACAATCCTGGCACAGGTATCTTCCGGGTTCTGAAGGCGAAGGATATATTGTTTGGTCGGGGAGGAACGTCATTGAGCACCCATTGCACATGAACGATTTTAGGGTCTCAGGTCGACCCAGAACGGTGCCATACACTTTGACAAGCGCCCCAGTAACGTGAGATTTAACTATCGTCGTACCATCATTTGTGTCGGCGCCTGGTGCGACAGAGTGCTTAAGAGGGCGAGAAGATGTCACGCTGTTGATGTGAGATTGGATTTTCTCAAAAGTACGGCTTTTGCTTCCCACTAGTGAGTTTCCAGAATGATGGCTCTGTCGGCGAGGAAACTTGTTGGCTGTACGAGATACAAAGGTTTGAGTATCGTCAACCGGAGTCGTAGATGCAGTTCGTGAACGGGAATTAGTGGAGGTGGTTTTTTCGGGAACTGACGTCGAGGGCTTCGATTCTGGTTCTGTGGGTACGGATTCTTGAACATAACTAAAGCACTTTTGTCAACGGTACGCCGTTGGAAATCAATAGCAAGTGCGCACGTTTTGGACCAACTATCACCCACACCTGGTTTCCTCTTTCCAAATCTCACGGAAGGTTCTGAACGGGTTCGTTAAGTGATTCGGGGGCATGAATGAGGGACGTTCACCCACCAGCTGGAAGACCGCCGCATTTCTTGCACCTGTCTTGTGTAACAATGTCGCCACAGCTGCGGCAAAAAGCCATCAACTCTGGCGGTAGTTTTGATGCAGAAGGACGCGCCCTGGTTGAATAGACCTATAAAGATGTAGATGAGGACGCGATCGTAAATCCAACAAACAACAACGCAAGCGTAAACAGCTGTCAACAAGTGGCTCAATCACGTGTGGGCCATGCAATTCAACCACGCTAGTCGTGATATTTTAAGATATTCGATGGTAATTTAGCGTCGAGCTACTTAAGTATACCGTGGCTCAGATTGATACTCACACCGAAGATATCATCGTTGACCGTGAGACTGTAACAACCCTAAGGGGCAATTTTGACTCATTGTATCAATTGGCTTGTGACGTATGGCGGTCAGGATGAATTCGACTTCTGTTAGTGTGACACTCAAAGCAGCTTCAAGCAAAATATAGCGAGAATTCATTTTGTCACTCATTCAGGATCGCCGTCTCGACTCTCAAGAGGATTTGCCCTGTCATACAGCTCATTGATTCGAGACACATATCCCACCTTCAGGCTGATTCCCCGACCACGATAAACCATGGCGTCCAGGATACCACATTCGACCCTCCATGGAGGGTGTTTCTGCAAGCGCGTGAGATACTCAATTGACGTGGACATACCTCCATTATTGAACGCTTATTGGTGAGCACTGGAGCGACAATGAAGAAGGTCAGACAACTCATCATCTGGAACGCTCATCTTACATAGTCACTGTACTCGATGTCAAAAACTTTTTGGAGCACCTTTCATCCATACCATTCACTTGCGTCCAGAGGCCTTCAAATGGACCACAGCCCCAATCCCACTCTCGAACGTTACGGACGAATACGTGGTCATCAACGTCAAGCACCGTTTCCGCTGCAAAACTTGCGGCTCTCACATTGCAAGCTGGAACGAAGCTAAACAAAAGTGGAGCGTATGGGGCGCAACATTGGATCGTGACGTCAACGGACGAATTATTGACTGGTCATTTGTGAAGCCAACTGACCATATGTTTTACGGAACGAGAATGCTCGACATTCCCGACAATCTGGGAAAGTGGGAAGGGTATCCAAATCAATCAGAACCGGTGCACGCGCCGCTGACGGAGGATGCATGATAAAATCTTCACACTCTTCACCCTGAGACTCGCAGTGCATGGTCAAAGGATTAATAATATTGCGAACGTAACATGGTAACATGATAATAATATTTATCCCCGCCCAAAAGCTCTACCGACACTGTTCTTGACAACTCCGCCGAGTATTTGGCCAGTCAAACCCAAATTCCATCCGCCCGTAAGGGAATTGGCCCATCGTTGCTTAGCGTCCCGGTCACTGAGAACACAGAAAACCCCAGTGAGACCCAGGTCGCCTAGGGGAAAGCGGAGGACCTACGCATATGTGAAGCCGACGGCATTTGTGCAGTTGAAGACCAACGCCAACACTACTATTGGTACGAAGCTAAAGACGTGTCATCAACGTCATGGTCAGAAAAAACTGATTCGACACGTACGACATGCTGAATCTAATGAGTGAGAGTATCAAGACTAGGAACCAGAATACAGGGAAGGAATAAATCGCGATCTAGAGCAGAATGGTGAGTGCCGTGAATAAACCATCACTCAATCATCAGGAGTACCCAAAACATCCTAGACAATTGTAAAACGTTATTGTGGAAAAATCACAGCTAAACCAGAAACGAACTTGGCATCGATCGGGTTCGCAGGCCGTGACGGATCACGACTCTCGAACACCCAGTAACTTTCTCCGTCATCATCGACTTGGTTCCAGTATCTAAGCCCAACCAATCTTCTTCCAGCAACGTTCTATAAAGATATCTCATAAAACCTAATAACAACGCAGTAGAGCCCTAAGAACTCACTCGACAATTCCAGAAATCCATCGCCAATAATACTACGACAGCGACAGTCTGATGTCGTAAGTTGACGCAATACCCACATCCACCCAGGCGCCAATGCTTACAGAGAGTATGTAATTTTCAGTTAAGAACCCACAGAGAAGGTAAGTAGCCACAGCGGCTATCCTGAAGAAGTAGAGAAACGCCAAAACAGCAGGATGCGAAGATTGTTTTAATATCCCGGCCAATCCTAGAAAGGTTGTTGAGCCTAGTGAAAGCGCGAAGATGGCAAAACGAGCATTTACCAGCCTCGGCGTCTCCAGGTGTTGCATTGGTGCGTGAAGCAGTGTTGGTGGGAGTGAGGACTATAGGTTCTCTTGGAGTGCCCACCGACTCGCCAATACGGCCCGTTGGTAGGCTTTGGGTCGACTCCGAAGGGTCGTCAGGCTCGATGGTCTGAGCAAGTAATGGGGTCGCAACAGATGACATGGGGAGACGCAATTCAGAGGATCAGGTGGCAGTGATTGTTGCAGCACTACGCTATCGCTGGACAAGAATGACGCCAAAGTTTGGTACAGGCTGAGGAAGTGATGCTGCAACAGGGTCACATGGTGGCGCTGTCAATTCTCATTTGGCGAATTCATCTGCACATCAAATCCGTTGAGAAGACAATAGACCTGCGTAACTGGCGCCTGACAAGGTGGTAATTTCGTTAATCGCATCCTTCTTTCTGCCATTTCCAGTGAATGTTATTGAACAGGCCGTTCGAGGTCGAGAGATTGACAAGCGCTGCGTCTACTCACGTTGTTGAAGTCGCGCTATTCTTGATCCTATCGCTGCCATACTTGTGCACTGTTCAAAGCGCCCTGCTTATGAAGCGAAGAATTTTCATCTTACCACTTTTCTCAGCTCACGCATAACAGAACTAAGCTGTGTTCGCTCGTATTTTCAAACTGGCCTCTCCACGAGGCGAGATTGGGGAGGCGGTGACGCAGTCATCCCAGGAATGGTCAACGGTAATTTCATTCTTGACATGGGAAGCTTGAGACTGGGGGCCAGCCGCTGCCATCGTATATGGGCGTTGCAAGGACCTCGTGATCCTCCGGATGACATAGGCCAACTGGTATCCCGTGCGCAGCTCATTGGACTTCACTCGGAGCCCTCTCATTGAGGGCGTGTATCTTGCCTGGGGCACACGGAGAACGGATGATTGGCCAGGCGCAACATTTCAACTTCCAGGGCTCTCGGAGCTAGACTAGTCGGGCTACTGGTACACTTGGTCAGAAATTGTTCGAGCGAACAGAAATTGCCAGGGTTGTCGAGAATGGAAACTCCAGGTTCACTCGCGTAGATTCCACGTCAGCTCTTACAATGCAGGTTCTCATGGAAAAAGAAATCTAGTCACAGCTCACGCGGGCACATGCGTTAACGCAACCATGGAGGTGCATACACAGTGTACAAATGTCCCGCAAGTTTGGCCAGAAATACGGTAGAACTGAAAACGCATCAACCCCGTTCCGGTGCAGGCGTAAGCTTCCGACGGTAATGCATGACAAGTTCCCCACCCTGTCTCCAAATATAGTGGCGAACAGCCGCCAGAGTCATTTCAAGCGGAAGGAGGGCATCATTGCATAAAATCTCAAAGTCGGATTCCGAAAGACGATAAGGAGATGCGTCGTCTGAGTGGCTCGTCATCGGCCGTACGACTTGCTCAGATGATAGACGATGGGGGTCCGCTGCGGCTTGCTCTGTAGACGCCGGATGTTGTGAATGAACCCCTCGTTCCAATGCTTCGAGTTTCTCAATAACCTAAGAGATCCATGAGCACTCCACTCTTTTTAGCATGGAAGAATGGGACCTACATAAAGCAAAACCTTCCGAACTCTCAGAACGCGACTGGCTGTCAATCTCAGCTGGCTGCATCATAATGAGAAACGACGGTATGACATGAGGCATTCCTAAACTCACTTGCTCACGAGCTCGGGCATGGGCTCTATCCCGGGCTTGTTCCAAGGCAACACAATAAATCCAACTTTCACGGGGGTAGGCTGCATGATTTTTCCCACCAAGAGAAACTCCAACAACCAAAGCGGTGCCGTTTGTTCTATGAGTTCTATATCATCTTCTGCAGGGGAGCACAGACCGTGGTACGTGGTTGTCCACCCGCTCTCGCCACTTGCTTGTTCCGAGATGATGATTCTGAGCGTGTCAGGAAGATTTATCGGTGGGGCCTCGAGCACGGTTGGTGGCTGGAGAGTTTGTTGAGTTAGACTTTCAAGGAATTGGAAGTTGACTTTGGCGGCCTTAACCTATTCAAAGATATTCATTTTATTCAGTATCATTGTATCCATAATTCGACTCACACTGGTGGATTCCTCGACTGGCTCAGAGGTTTCCTGAACAGGTTGAGGAGTTGAAATATCTTCGGCGACAGTCTTCTTAGGCTTCCCGAAATTTTTCCAGCTCCTCATAAATCGCCCGGGAGTCAGAGGAACCATTGGAGCACCAGAAACTTGACTCGGTGTTGGACCATGCTCGACTGAACTCGACGGGGGCAACGAGAAGTAATCCGCAGAACTGATGGCCTTCCCAAATGATGTCATTCCACCAATTGGTGCAGGAGACTGGGCCAAGCGAGGTGTCGGTGAGCCTAGCGCACTCGGAGAGGCGGGTATGGATGATACGATATCTTTGGCGGGGAGTGATGGAAATCCGCTTCGCGGCCAGCTGGGCGCGGGTAAAAGTTTTGGTACCTCCGGGATAATAGCTGGTGTCATTGACAGTGTGGACAGTGCAGTGACAACCCCTGGTGTCCTCTGGGTCCGGACCGTAAGGTCGGAGTTGGATCGTAGTCGGCGTTCCTTGATGGCCTCCAAATTCAAAGTGCCAGGAGTAACGCGTTGAATCCCTTTTCCTGGTGTCGCAGATAACCCACCCGACGACCGCGAGACTAGCAATGCTTCTGCCCGAATGAAGCCTGGAAGAGGGACAATAACAACACGTCAGGTGCAAGTCGAAGACTATGGCTGAACACTCGCCAGCAAACAGGTTGTTAAGAACCCATTTTCCAACATTCACTAACCAATTAGTCATCAGTACATTGGTAACACGCAGCATCAGGGACGTACGGCGATGTTCATCTGGAAAAGAAGGATTCCCAGCAAAGCCAACTTCATCAGCATAGACTTCAGCATCAAAACAAGTAGTTTCGGACAGGTGGACAGTCAAACTTCCCATCTTCGTATCTACCGTAGCCCATGATGCAATCATCGCCTCTCCCTCTATACGTTCTCGCACCGTCTCCAATGACTCTCGCGGACTCCAATTGATCTCATTCTGATTCTGAGAATCACCGCTACTCCCATTCATCGAGGCAGTTTCGACTTCCTCGCTCGAGAAGTACCCGATGTATGTGCCACGGACGAGATCCCATACGGCAACTTCACCAGAGGTGTCCACAGTCAGAGCGTGTATCCGATCGTTTAGAATCACGGATCTAACCAGACCGTGACTCCCTTTCAGCACCTCTTCAGGTGAAGAACGCAATGGCTTCGCTTGAACCGCCACTTCGCGTGATTCATACTCAGCTTGCGGCAGGCTTGCATCCACGATCTGGCCATCATGTAGCTGGGATAACGACCCCGGCTGAGTGGCTTTGTAACTTCCAGTTGAACCAGCGTGGGCAGGATAATAGAAGGGGGAGGCAGATGAAGTTGGCGGAGAATGAGACTCCTTTGACTGAACCTGGGAAGCGCGATGCTGGACTGGAACAGAAAGGACGGATGCAGCAGAGTATAACGTGGCAACTTCCGGATCTCCATGAGACAGAGATTGCTTGAAAGTGAAACCAGCGTCTGAGGGTGCAAGTTTCACAAGACTTTCGAATCGAATCCCATATAGGGTGTTCGGTGCGATTTCCTGCGGCTCATCGGTGGCAATAATGGACTGAATAGAATGTACAGAATGGTGGGGCGGCGGGCGGTTCTGGGGAGGTGAGGGAGCCAGAGATGCCACTTCAAAGAAACGAGGCGATGCTGAACGTGGAGTGTCGGCCACTGGAATGAACGCAGAAGGGCCACCAGTAGACTGTCGTGACTCCCCTCTGAAGAGTGCAATGGGTGTTGATGAGCGGGACGCAGGGTGTCCATTTGACATCCGTGAAAGGCCCATTGTATCCATGATCGATGGTGGTGCCGAATGATCCCAGTTTTGGACAGTGGAATATGTCATCCTCGAGAAGCGGGAACCAGGATCCCGCCATCGCTTAATGTCAGAGGCGCCCGTAGCTGTCCATACAGCCCAGTTGTCAACGGCAAGAAGCCTATTGATGCCTTCTTTACACCGATTCTGTGCACTGCCGTCTCCAGTGTCTCGACACAAAACCATGCACTCCCCTTCCGCAATGTCCCCACAGTTCTCCATATCTACTTTGCAAACTAGGCCGGACTTATCACCAGAGTAGAATATAGATAGATTAGGATGAGAGCTGAAGAGCGTCCAGACGCTCTCAGTATGGTGTGAAAATGTGTGCAAGCATCGCTGTCCAGAAACAGACCAAATCTTAATAGAAGCTGTGTAGATAAGTGAGAAAATTTGCTGCCCGACGGGAAATGTAAACGAACCATCAGAAGACCCAGTAAGAATCTGAAGTTTCGAAGTCAGCCAGTGAACTGTCGATGAACTGGACTTAAACTCACGTATTTTCCATCGTCAGAAATAAGAATAGACCGAATATTGTCAGTGTGTCCCACAAGTTTCCCCACACGTTTCCCAGAGCGTGGGTCCCAGAGGCGAACCACCCGCTCCGGACTACCTGAAGCGATCATGTTACCAGAGGAATCAACGGCTAAAGCGTAAATGGAAGCTTTAGCGCTAGCGTCTGGCAACGACAGCGTGATAATTGGGCTTAGAGTGTTCAGGCTGGAAACAGAGCTGCTCGCAGAGTCGACGGAACGGGAGATGTCCCATAGCCTGATTGTTCTATCAAAAGAACCAGAAGCTATCCAAGGTTTCTTAGGACTAAATCTGAGGCATCAGTGACTGGCACGTAATTGGATGTTGACGACAACCCACGTGTGGGCAAGACAATGGACATAGTCTGCGTGCTTGCCAATTACACTCGGCAGCGACGATGGAGTAGGGTCATGTGGAGACCAAAGCTTCACGAGCCCGTCATTAGATGCGGAAACAACTGGAGAAATCATAAGCGGAGGCACACGAAGATATTCCATGGCTGAGGTACCTGATTGATTCAGATTGCACAAAGCAATATCATTCACCCAATCATTATGAGCTTGTACGCCTTGCCGGAATACTGAATGCTAAATTTGAGCATGAACATCCACCAGCAATGAATCGAGCCAATAGAACGACTGAACTATAGTCAGGTTCTCTGCCTTCTCATGATCCACCACCCACTGTTGCTCGTGTGGTAGAGTCTTGTCTAGACCCTCACCAATTAAAGGTTCGTTTTCATCCTCCGTAAGCTGAGTGAGGTCGCTTGCATCGCTGTCACTGCCTTCATCCGATAGATCCTCATCCTCGTCATCCCAGGCAGTCATGACTTTCCAATCGCCCTTCCGGCTACGAATTCCAGGACCAGATCTTTCCCGTGGTTTCCGTTTTCGAGGTTGGGTCGGTGCACCTACCTCCCACGCCATGACCAGCCCATCACGACCGGCAGAGTACAATATGCCTTCAGGAGAACCCTTCCCAGCAATTTTTGTAGACATATCAATAGCGAGAGACGATACACCAAGCCGATGCTGTGGAAGCGAAACACCAGCGGCGGATAAAGATGAGCGGATCCCATGCCGGTACCGAGGCGGACTCCGTGAGTCCCCTTCGCCTTGCAAAGAGGCAGAGGGAGACGGAGCTTCGTTGTCAGGTAAGATGAGAGGAAATGTTCGTCCTCGCCTTCGAGCATCTATCGGAGGCAGGACAAGCTTCGTACGATGGCCTGAGGGTGGCGGTATTACATAGGACACCCTTCGCGCGACAGGGTAGGCCGGTGCCATGTACTACACCAAGAGGTGCAACTTGGCGCTAGAAACGATGTCCCTCCCGTCAGGATCACGGACAAATCCGGGGCAGGTCAGTGTGGGTCCGCAGTTGTGGATTAGCCTTCATACAACTCCGCAACCGCCATCCCCCATCGTTCTGGCGGACAAGATCGTGCTCTTGGAGAAGTGGAATGGAAAACGTGACCGGTGCAGGTGCTGGTGCCGTTTTTCCGTCGGGGTGCAAGCAGGGTGGAGTCACGAAATTGATCTGTGCATGACGACGAATACACCCTGAGCGTGGGGAAGCCTACGATTTCACATCCGTCGTCCCACGTGGCGACAAACGATGGATGAAGAGAGGCTATAAACCGCGTCAAGGTGGTCAGATAAACCCCCGGTTCGGGCTCTTCCGGGGATTGAGACAAGCTTTAAACATGTCCAGTTCCAAGTTGCGGAAAGAACCTCCAAGTCCCAGTTTCACTCCTAGTTCGCTTCGGCGATTGTCCCCGTCTCCAGAACCTCAGGCAACGCGTCCACTCAGGATCGTCGCCTCAGGTGTCATCTTCCTTAATCACACCATCACAGTACCTGCACACCCGGAGGAGGGTGCAACCATCAGGGCTCAGGCCGTAGCGCGTCTGCGGGGTGGGTCTGCCGCAGGTATGGATTGTGGTTATCAATAAATGCGCATCGAGACAGAAACTTCCTTCCCAAGCGTGTCTGTCCATCATATCTCAATTTGCTGAAACTCAATCATGGCTTGTTGCTCCCATTGGCTCAGGTCCAGAGGGGTCCGCATTGAGGGTCGAGCTTGAGAGAGAAGGCGTAAACACGCGTCTTTGCGCGCGTCGCGAATCTGCAGACGGTGTCCCAAAGGCGTTTGTGATCAAATCCAGTTGAGTTGTCCCGTCCTACTGGCTATCACCTAGTGCACGCCAATTATTGATCTCCTGTAAATCACCCTAGATGCCGGTACACAGACCGTGATTAATTACAATCCTATTCCAGACGTAACCCACGAGGAGTTCTTCCGGCTCATTGGCCCTCTGCTTTACTCGGGTCGTCCACCAGATGATGGGTCAGGCTTTGCGACTCTACCACCTTCACCTCCTTTAGACTGGGTTCATTTCGAAGGCAGAGATGTCGCTACAACGGCCCAGAATATGGCGGGCCTGGACAGCTGGCTGACGGAGAAAGATTGGAGGAGCCGAGTTACCATCAGTGTGGACCTAGGCAAACCGGGAAGAACAGGGTTGGAGGCTGTAAGTTGGACATTCCCCACACTGGAGTTGACCTTATTCGCGTGTCTTCGTAGTTAATTCCTCACGCAGACGTGATTTTCTTTTCGTACGTGCAAATACCTTGCGCCATGGATGATAACTAACGCGTGTACTTTAGGAAGTCATATGCCATGGTGTGAATCCCCCGGCGTCTTGGTTAGGAGTAAAAGTGCTAACGGCACATTCTGTTTCAGACAAGGAATTTCTCATCACCCAGAACCTTCCTGCTTTCAATGCGGTCTCAAGTCCCGCCTCATTCGCTCCTCGTTTGTGATTGGGGACGAGAAGGAGGAGCCATCTTAAGTATGCCCACACGTGAATACTTCCAGTCGAGTTCGTTCGTCCCAGACCCAAACGAGGATCCTGATACTTCACGAATATCAAGTGTACGCTCTAGCTCCGCTGCATTCTCGTGGTCCGGAACGTCACCTTCTGATGCCGACGAATCATTTGAATATTGGGACGAGGAGCGCAAGCGGCAATGGGCGCGAAATGTGGATAAAGCGAACTCGGGCAGCCGAAGCGGCGATGACGATGAGGAGCTTGATGAAAGTGCAGGGGAAGATACATTTGTTGGAGGTGAGTCCAAAGATTCTTTGGTCTAGCATCCAGCTAAATTCATGGTGAATGCAGGGATTATATTCTCCCTCTCGCGGAGAATGCTCCCAGGTTTTCCGTATTGCCCTCGACCAACGACCCCAACCCAGCGTAACCGGAATCTCAGTCCTTATGACATACCACCAAACACGGTAATCAACGCGACGCCTTTGTACGAAGGCAGATGGCGCTTAGACGAGTGCTTGAGGTTCGCAACAGAGCTAGCTGGAAGAGGATGCGACGGAGAACGGACGAAGGGCTTGCATTAGTGATGGAGAGACAGGGATGGTGCATGTAAATTATGATAAGATACCCTCTCTTTCTCAACATACCCTTGGTTTCGATCCCCTTACCTTGCTTGCAAAGCCTCTTCCACCACAATTCGTGAGTTTCCCACCAGCTCTTCTATTTATGAGTAACAATTTTAACATTGATGGGACGCGGATTTCCAACCCTTTCCATCCACGGCCATAGGACTCGGAGAACACCGCATCCCGTCCGATCTGCGAAGTTAAGCCGAGTGCCGCTTAGTTAGTACCATGGTAGGGGACTACATGGGAATCCTGAGTGCTGTGGTTCTTTTTTCTCCCTCGCCCTTCCCTTTCATCACATGTTGTTCTCCAATCTCAATTTTCTCCATACATGCACGACTATATGACCAACTTGATATATATTCGCTTGCAACGTAATCACGTTGAGGCAGTATCTGGTAAAGTTAAATCTATTCCTATATCCATAAAATTAAAAAAGCTGTCAACCTACTTTCATGCCACCATCCAAACGAAACAGAAGAGAAAAGAGCCACAGGGTGTCCGGCTCAAAGCCTCAAACTATGCCCACGCAACATTAATTACCCTAGCACTGTTCTAATCCTCACGCTAATCCACTGGATCTCCCCTTCCGCATCGGCCATCTTTGCCCATTATACATCCACATATTAGCACCGGGACTATTCATGAAGCGGCACAGAGTCAGCATTTAGAAATGTATCGCGGTGCCGGAATCAATTACCTTCCCCGATTTTGCATACCCATACCTTCCTCCGTCAGTGACCTCTCTCTTCACCGCGTCGTATGGAGTCAGAGGATGATTTAGCCCACCCGGTATGGTTGCGAGATGCGATTTCAACTCCAACCAAGATCTGGACCTCGTGGTCCTTGCTGGCCGAACGCGAGGTCTTGCGTAACAATGCCAAGCTTTCCGAATTCTACAAGGAGAACGAGGACGAAAACGAAGATTACAATCCTTTCAGCGTTTCTGTTGGCGCCCTAGAAGACAATAGAAGGAAGAATCGGTTCGGCATTGAGGCATACAATCGCACACGAGTCCTCTTGAGCGACGAGGATCGATACGTGAACGCCTCCTATATCCGAGAAGGATTAGGAGGGCGATGGTGGGTCATAGCAGAGGTATGCACCCCTTTTTTAATGATTACTGGAACGGTTTGCTGGACATCATTGGCTTGCCTCATGGATCTAGGCACCCTCCGCCACCGCTGTACATGCGTTCTTGTCACTTTTCATTCCCGCCGAAGACCAAGAACAGCCAGTCTCTCGAATGCATACTATCGTTCAACTGACCCCTCAAGGCGAAGGCTCAACACATCCCCAGATCCGTACTTCCCCCCCAATCTTTCACAGACATACACTATCAACGCTGAGCGTGGATATGACCTCAGCCCCTTCAAGTTAGAACTGTAAAGCAAAAGCGCATCCCCGACGCAAATTGTACAAAGACAACCTTTACTATATCACGGCCCAGCAGGAAGTCGAATCTCAAAGAAATGGAGTCCTTTGAGGTTAACCACCTCCTATTCGAGTCGTGGCCCGCGAAGACCACACCTAATTCTGACGGCGCTACAGCCCTTATGAAGTTTATTAATCACATATACCCTGTAAACACTCGACCTCCGAATCCTCCGCTTTATAATCCGTATCCTAACAGAACCAGCCAACAGACCGATCCTCCTATTGTTGTTCACTGTGCGGAGGGTGGACGTTCCGGCACTTTCATCGCCATTAACTCCCTCTTGCGTAAATACAAATGCATTGCAACCCCCTACGATGACACCCATAACCCTCCACATATACCTCCTTCCCCTCTCGGGCCCCCTCCGGGGGATATTTTTGTTGACCCCGTGTTACGCGAGGTGGACCACCTGCGAGACCAGAGAGCCTCGTTAGTCGACAACGAAACGCAGGTACGCCAGACTCACGATTACTCATGCGGTCCCTAGTTCTCACGTAACACGTAACGAAGCTCCGATTTATTTACCAAATGCTTTGGAATGGAATCACTGAGCGCAAGAGGCAAAGCCTCCAGTCGCACTACGTACCTATTTCCATTCCTGGATCACGCGAATCTCACCCCTTCAAAGTCCAACAAGTCTCGCGGTGGCAAATCGTAGGCACTCGTGTCCTCCTATCCCTGTACCATGCGCTGACTAACTTCGTTAGCACCATGGACTACATACGATCCGCGATTTGGGGGCGTTGACCCCTTTTTCATCCCGCTTTGCAATTGCTGTGCTCACTAATTCCAATCCCGCTGAATTGTTCGAACACCTGTGCCCCACTTGCTTGGACCTGCCCCTATTGTTTGATTGGTCAGTGCTAATTGAAGTTTGTATGTACCCCTTGTTGTGCTATTGAATGTATACTTTGCCAAGGATTTCCATCATTCGATGAAGGATCATGGGCGTTCTGTATACAGAACTCCGCTCTACCAAAAACGATGCTAAGATGCTAGCGCTAGGCGAATTACCGTCCGGAATCACGGCCCTCGCAGCCCGTTCCGAAGGTGTACAGACGGGCGCGCGCTTAGATCTTGAGTGAATGAGGGATAAATAGCGTGCAACAAAGTCGATGACACCACTGCAATCCTTTCTAACCGGACGCAGCGTGTTTCGACAATCTCTGCGACGAATGTCCTCTGACTCGAAGCAGTTATATTTTGTTTGGGCTCCGGACTACACGGACCCGGAGGCACTGTCCAGGCGGTTGGCTGTCCGGCCAAAACACTTGGAAGGAGTACGAGCGCTTGAAGAACAAGGGACTTTAAGTACGCTAGGCTTCGCCTCACCAGTGACCCATCCAGCCTAAACTTTGGATCTTGGATCCCTCTCCTGTGTAGGAGCGGGAGGCGCTGCGGTAGTGCCGCCCGAGGAGATTGGAAACGCCACTGAAAGGAAGTTTGTTGGGTCACACCTGATTTTGGAGGCTGGATCCCTGGGAGATGTCAGGAAGATAGTTGAGAATGACATCTATTACCAGGGAAATGTGGTTCGTGACTACATTTACTGATTCTCTGGGCGGGTTTGCCACTGAGCCCTCCGCACAGTGGGACAGGGAGAAAATAGTCATTGCGCAGTATCTGCCCTTGAAGATCTAATTCAATTTGTCTCATTTAAGGGGGTCAGCCAAGTGTCAAGTGTCTGTAGAACCTACAAGTCTGTTTGCAATTCATAGGTTGGGCTCGTGGCTAGTTGCGTTGAGAGTGAGGGAAAACACTTGACTAAACCAAGTGGTGTTCACCATTTTGGCTAAGAAGTTGGAGGTCATTTGCAGCCATCCTCTATGACAACTGAGCTTGGGATTCTCCTGAGCAAGGGTTGGTTGCAATGGCATCATTCCATCAAGATGACTTGACATATTCTACGCTGACACGAGCAAGGGCATGATGTCGCTGGCCAAAGTGCTCAGGATTCTACCACTGGCCAAAAGGGAACACCACTAATCATCACGACAGACCGGCACAGAAGGCTTTCATGTTGGATGAAAGCTTTCTTATGCAATTTATTTCTACCAGATATTAGTCGTGCCTCGCAGGGTCATGGAATTACTTGATGGGAGGTCGAGGTACTGGCAATCTGTTGGAAGCGTACATATACGTATATCAGGGCGAACTTCGCTCACTCCCACACCTAGAAACTCATTCCTGGACGGACGCATGTAACAGGATGCTGCTGGTTTGTTGCATTCTAGGGGCCGCTCTTTCCGTTTCCCAGGATCCGGTGCGTAGTAGCAAGCCGCCATCATGCTATAACGCCCCCATCACGCCCACATTTAGGATAGCTCGTAGCGGTGCACGTTTGATCTTGGCGGCATAGGGGACAGCGTAGCGTCACCGAAAACAGACCACTCCTACCTACGTCATGTGGACACTGAACGCCGGAAAATCTTTCCCTGTTTTCCCTCTAGTGGTGATTATGCAGGAACACTTAGTTAGTAGGTTTACGAGGCTCCTTATTAGTGGGCCTGACACTGCACGCTTGACCTGGACTGTTTCCCTGATCCAATGCCTGGGTGTTCGGTCGATCAAGGTCGTAGGGAGTGGAGCGGACGCGCCAGTAAGTGCCACTGGCAGGCAACCTCGAGGATGGGCGTACGTAGGACGATAACCGTGGGCGACTGTCATTGACCAGCCTACGTCGGCAGTGCGTCCAGGCCTAAGTGATCGAGAGTCCTGATGTTTCTCAGAGCATGTGCAGACACGATACCTCGTGTGTCTGTATCATGCCCCCGGCCTTCAAGTCCCTTATGGGCAATCTTGGCGAACTGCAAACACAGAACGAACCGGACCGCCGAAGCCGCGAACTCGCACGACACATGGATGTGGATCCTGGGGTGGCCAGGCTTGGCGCGTGCAATGGACAGACTGCATATCGGAGTACGGTGACTCCCATCTAATATCCGACGCAATTGGATCATACACCTTGCATCAATCAAACCATGCTTGATCAACTACTATGAATAACCACACCCGGTGATCACTAGCCCAGCATCCATACGCAAGCGGGTTACTTCCTCCGAGAGGGTAAATCTTGACCCAGCTTGATTCCTCTTCTTGCTGGATTACGATTCTTTACATTAGCAGTGGTGTAGAAATTGGTGGCTTTCCTCTACGGGAAACAGTCAGTGTTATCAGATCACCATCTCTTGCAAAGGGGCTTGCCTTATTAGTTTTCATCCGAGGGTCTTTCACTACCTTCCGCTTCTTGCCATCGTCCTCCTCGTCGTCGTCTTCCGAGAGGTCTGCTGCTTTATCCGATGCATTCGACTGTTGCTTAGGCACTTCTGTTGTGACTGATTTAAGGACCATGGCGCATAATGGCAGGGAATGGCTTACCAGGTTGCGGGTTTGCGGATCCAGCCACCGCTCCGTAAACATCATCCCAGTTCAACTCTTTCTCGTCATCCACAACATCAATTTCAGCGTCTTCGGTATTCTCCTCGTCTTTACTGTCTTGCTCATCCTGAGAGCCTGCTTCACCATCAATGTCATCATTCTCCGTTGGTTCAACGTCCTCATTCTCATTCTCGGCTTCCTCGCCCGGCCCGCGATCGTCTGGTAGGAACTTGCTATTCAGAAGTATCTTGTGGACTTCCTGCTGCACACCAATCCTTGTCTTCTCTTTGCGGTTGGTTGCCTCGGGAGTGACAGGTGTCTCCTCACTAGTATTCTCCGGAGGACGCACGAAATAGGGAATCTTGCCTCTTATCCAGTCATTTAGCACCATTTTGCTAACAGTCTCTCGGTCCGGTTCACCGCCCTTCAACAGCCTGCCGGACTTTCGAGCAAGGATTTCAAGAAATGCATCAGCCTCCCAGGGTGTATTATCGTCGTCTGGGTCGGTGGCGCTAGGGTTGGGGGGTAGGGCATATGTGCGAGTGAGGTAGACAGGTCTGACACGTTGGAGAAGTGCGGGGATGAAGTCGGAAGGGGATGAAAGATTCTCAACGCGGACAACACCCTTGAGGACAGTGTCTGTTTCTGAGTCATGCATCGAATTCGGCACAACCCCCGGCAGTCAATGAGATAGATTCGGCGCATGAGAGTAATGTATTGCCAAACTTTGGTTTCGCCAGGGATTGGAGCAACGTTGCAGACTTTACTCCTTTTCAAACAATTTATGATGGAGCTCTTGCCCACATTTGGATATCCAACGAAACCGACAGAAATTTGTTTCTTGTCTGAATGCAATATTGAAATTGGCGAAGGAGTTGGATGAGGGAACCTTTTCCGAAGGAATGGTTGATAGATGCGTGGAACGCTAAGGTAGGTGCTTTGGGTGTCAAGTAGGAAATCCAACGGGCCTAGCATTAATTTGATCAATACATTCCGGTACATGTAAAAATGATGCGAAAGTGAAAGATGTTTGTGCCGGTACTAAGTGGTTATACCATACGAAATATACCACAACTCATCCCAGTACAGATGCGCATCTGGAACCTTGAGCCCCAACATTACTCAGAACGAGAGAGTGGGAAGATTGAGAGAAGGCGAATCAATATCCCATGGTTGTAACAACGCCACTAGCCTGGGGAATCTCAAGATGAGGGGCAGTAGCACTTGACTCAACACATGGAGCAAGGGAGAAGAAAGAGAACTGAAAACCAAGGAAATACTTACTGTAGCCCAAGTTGGGATGAGATCACATTTGTTTAGAATAAGAACAACATGCTTGTGAGGCTTTTCCTTCTTTATGAACTCGAGGACGGAGTCGCATTTAGTCCCTAAGGGATCCCGAGCATCCAAGACATGCACAACAACATCAGAAGAATCGATGACTTTGTAAAGTTCGCCGAATATTCGACGCGAAGTCCCCTTAGAAAAGATAGGCTCAATGAAATCGGCGTGGGTTGGTGCATCGGGGATCTCATCGTCTTGGGGCACCGGGTGTGACTCAGCGATGGCGGCTAATGCTGCACTAGTAGATGATCCAGCCCCAGGCGCATCGACAATAGTGTTGGGATCATTTGAAGTAGCAGTAGTAGCACCAAGTTCCTCGAATGAACCAACATCCAGACGAGGCTTCTTGCGCTGGGCCTTCTTACCGAAGGTGTCTGTAAATGGTTCCGTGTCCACTATGTGGACACGCTACCAACCGCCTGAGTACGAGGGAACAACAAAAGTTGAGCAACATACCTTCCCAGCATGGGATTTCTCCGCATCATCAAGAAGGCTCATAGGAAGTTTGTTCCGTTTGAGTAATACTGAATATGGGTCATTCTTTCGAGCTGTCAGTGACTCCCGGAAGTGCTCTAGTGCTGTCTGAGAGATGACCCTTGTGTTCCCTGGAGATATAGGGGCTAAGCCACCTGACTCGCGACAATCATACATTCTACGTACCAAACCAACGACGGTCTGGCTGCACACGTCCAGGACTTGTTTCATCCTCACCCTTTTGGAAAGCCGCAGCCTTGATAATGTTGCCGGCTTTATCACGAATAGGCTTTCCCCCACTCAGCATCTTCACCCTTCGGGCAGCCTTGCATCCCGATAGAAATTCTCGCCCTTGACACGCTTCAAGGTAATGCCAGAACCAGCTGATTTTTTCGTGTTCGTCTTCGTAGGTGCCATCTCGCTTGAGCAAAAATACAGAGAAAAATTATTAAAGCCTGGTATCCTGTGTAAATATGTTAGATGAAGTGGTGTTTGTCGAAGGGATTGGAAGTGGGGCAGAGAGCAGAGCGAGCGAAAAAAAAACGACAATGGACTCGGCTTTAACCGAAATTTACATCCGTCCAGCTACCTTCTTCTCATGGTGTTCGCAGCGCCATTTCGCAATACGGCTCGCTATCTGGTTCGTGATTTTCCAACATGGAAAGAGGGATTTGCGTTTACCTTGCGCCGTTGCTTCCGCATTTCCAGAGATATGCAGCTCACGAGGAGCCAGTCATATTCTGGTCGCTGATCCTCGGGTTCACTGGTCCTGTCATGGTGCTCACTGTGCCTCCAATGCGTAGACAACTCGGCTATGTGCCACCAGAAAGGCCGCCTACCTCTTATCCCCGTAAGACTTTGCTAGCTCCTCGCTCAATCTTCCGGCACACGCTGATTGCCACGATCCAGTCCCAAACCGCCTAGACAGCCCGTCACAGGATATGACGACGAATAGACGGTTATCTGTGTTAGAATGGGTCGCTGATGTTTTGAACAAGTTATCTCGGAACTAAGCCATACAAAACTTCCACGACCCAGAAACAGGAGCCCAAGTGGCGTTCCTACCTTCTCGCTCTTTGGACACTAAATGAGGAGAGCCTAACATCATCAAGAAACCCTCATGCGTAAGACAAGACTCGTCATATGGAACAATGTCATTAGAACTGCATATCTCAACCTCACTTTTTCGGGGTACCCCATGCTCCACCACCCGGCGTTCGTATAATAATATGATCACCTTTACCCATCATAACCGTCGCCTTTCCTCCAATATTAATAATCCTTGGCTCCGTATTCTCCTTGGATGCCTTCTCAGGTGAAGGGACGTCATCATCCTCTTTCCGAAGTTGCTTGAGCCATATGTTCTGACCCCGTTGGCCCGCTCCTCCACCTTCGAGGCCATAAGGAGAATGAACACGACGCTAAGAGATGAATGGCGCTTAGCTTCCGGATTGTCTCGAACTTTTCATTGTGATCCGCACCTCACTTAGGATTGATACTTGAATAGGCTGTAAGAATTCGATATCTCTCACAACGCCATCGCCTCCGGAAAATTCTCCCCTCCTCCTGAGCCTTTGCGTATCGAAAACTCGTGCAGGAGAACAGGATACCGACGTTCTAGAATTTCGACATCTCCAATGCGCGTGTTTGTTATGTGGGTGTGTACGCCCGAAGTCCCATGCCAGCCTGGACCAGCCCCTGATCCGCCTGCTATCGTCTATGATACAATTGACCGGAAAATGTATCAACTTGGCTGGGTGATGTGAACTATGAGCACCAAACCTCGTAATATCCCCACCCTCTCGTTACGACGCCATTCTGGTCTTTCCCGCCAACGCCAAATGTGAGATTGCTACGGGAGGGTCTAGTGGAACTGGGCGAGATCAACCGCGCGAATGACCTACTTGCAACATCCCTGACTAGCAGCGCATGCATTAAATGCTTTCAGCACGACATCCACGATCCGCTGACTAGTTAGCACGTTCCCGGCGCACACAGCAGCTGTGGGGCTTGGACTGAGGAGCGATTTCTCAGGTATTTTGACTGATACAGAGATCAAATCAGCGCCAGAAGAAAACACGAAATGAAAGTCAGCCCACTCTGAATAGGGACTAGGCACCCTGCATTCAGTGGGATGTCCACGTCGAGCATGGATCGCACACAATAGATGACCGCCGCGTGAACGACGCTAATAGGTGCATTAAGATTGCCACGGATCTCAGGTCCCGTCCCCTCAAAATCTACAAATGCCGAGCCGTCCACTTCGTTGATATTTATTTTGATATGAATCTAGTTCAATGATGCCGTCAGGTCGGATCTCCACTGTCTATGTATAAGTGCAGAAGAAAACCTACCGCTGAACCATCGTCAAGGTAATCCTCTGCTTCGAGTTCGTTCTTTCCGAGGCGCTTCACCACAGTTTTCAGCAGATTACGGACAGAGAGCTCTGCATTGGCGCGGATGTGGTACATGTAGTCTTGGACCGTTTTGAGATCATACTCGCGAACAACTAAGGAACGATCAAGATGAAATGGATGAACTGAAGCAAACATTGGAGCGAAGGGACTTACGCGCATGAATCAGTTGGATTCCCTTGTGGTTCGCGGCAATTTGCTGGTACAGGAATTCGAATAGGCGTGATGAGCGTTGGAAACGGCAATTGACGCACTGCTTTCAGATCGCTTTCGACGTCCCTGAAGTTTCTACATCCACTGTTCCCTGGGTAACTTGCCGGTTTATCCACCATACGATTATGTAGACCTTCATGATCGAACACCCGGTTGTTGACAATCTTGAATGATTGTATCTCGGCACCCTCCTGGAATATGGTTACAGATGTCGGGGGCATCGAGCCTTTGGTCACGATGGGCAAAAAATTGAACGAAGTTGTATGGTAGGTACGACATACCAGGCAGGATGCCGCCTATGTCAGCATGATGTCCCCGAGATGCGGTGAAGAAGATGATTTCCTTTGTCTGTTCATCGAATACGGGTGTAATAATGGTGATGTCCGGTAAATGACTAGTATGAATCGATAAGTAATAGTAAGCAGACATTAATGAGTGTTGTTTACCTTCCCCCAGCCTGGGGTGAGTTTGTCATTATCACATCCCCCTCTCTGAGACCTTTGCCGAGTAAATTCATTTGGTATTTGACGGCACTGCCGAGAACGATAAGTGAATGCGTGATTCGAACACTAATAATGCTTTACAAGCTCATAGACCTAGAATAAAAACCAGGGATGTCCCATCTTCTATGTGAGCCCCATTCCATGGGCACGAGCCACTCACCCAAGATGAATCGGAATAAAAGGTGCATTCGCCACAAGATCGCCATCCGGGGCGAACAGAGCGCAAGAGTAATCCAGCCTCTCTTTAATATTTGTACTTATGGAAGTCTTCTTCAGTGCCTGCCCCATTGCTTCAGCAATGCTCATGAAGCGGTTCGCGAAGAGACTGAGCATGATGGGATCGGGCCCGTCCATTTTCACGGTGAGATTCATCGTCATAGGTGTTCGGATGATATCCGCTACTATAGCTAGCGCTTGCCCCCTTGTGTACTTATACCTTTTGCTAAGTCAGCAGACTGTCCCGTGCTGGGAGAAGCAGGTGGAAGTGCAGCGGGGGATAACATGACGCGGAAATGGTGCGTGACGAATCGATGTAACGCTGTGGAGACATCGGTCCCCGTCACGCCACTTCTGCGCAACAATGTATATCATTCGCCAAGTTGAGCGCGCCCCGCTGTTCTTCCACCTTGATCTCTGTGGCGGTCCTTTTCACATTTCAGAACAGATTCGTTAGAGAAATAGCCACAGCGCATATATCCCGACTTACGAGTAGTGTCAGTCGAACCTTAGCACGTCACCCATATTCGTCCGATAAGCACGCAAATTTCCGAAATACTAGACATGAGTACGACTTCCATCCCTGACCACTCTATAAGGATTTGTGCCGATCGTGGCGGGACTTTCTGCGATGTGAGCTACTACATTTGTTGTGATGACTTATCTGTCGTCTTGACTTCCTTCATCGTCGATTGCAGGTTCATGCGTAAGTAAATCCCTTCCGCACAGTTACTAGCTTCATGCACGCATACAATTCAGATCATACCCTGACCCTAAGAATCCCAATGAACGGAAAGAAATAGTAGTGAAGCTTTGTAAGTGCTCTGCCCTCGAGGATGTGCAAGTGGGCTGAATTGTATTGCAATTAGTGTCTCAGGATCCTCTGAACTATAAAGACGCACCTACCGAAGGGATTCGACGTATCCTTGAGGCTCTCACGGGCGAGTCGATTCCACGCGGACAAACTCTCAAAACCGATAAGATCGGCAGGTGTCAAGATCCTTAACAGATACCGTAGCTCACTTCCCGACCGGGTTTAGATTATATACGGCTGTCTACGACTGTTGCGACTAACGCTCTTCTTGAAAGGAAGGGCAAGAAGCACGCCTTGCTCATCACGAAGGGCTTCAGAGTGAGCGCTTCTCTCATTCTCGCTAATAGTCATAGTATCCATGTCACTACCAGGACCTTCTGTTGATAGGTAACCAGTCGCGACCAAAAATTTTCGACCTTAATATCCGCCGCCCTCCTCCCCTCTACTCCACGGTTCTCGAGGTCGATGAGCGCGTAACGCTGGTCGGATACACATCAGATCCCAATGCAGCCGAGCATGCTGTTCAGTTTGATGAGAATGGGAAAATTGTATGCGGCTATAATGGCCCAGGATGGGACGAGAATGACGACGATCAAGGGGAAATCGTGAGGGGGTTGAGTGGCGAGGCGGTAAGAATTATCAAAAAGCCCGGTATGGCGCCCTTCTCTGGTATATAATCTTCAATGTGACTCAACCATCCTTTTGCGCATCCAGAATTAGATACTATTCGCAAGGACCTTGAATATCTCTTCTCCGAGGCAGCAGGTTCCTACCGTTCCCTTGCCATAGTCTTCGCACATTCCTACACCTACCCGGATCATGAACTTGCCGTTGGTCGAATTGCCTCCGAAATTGGTTTCACGCAAATTAGCATGTCATCCCAGCTTCTTCCCATGATCAAGATGGTCCCTCGAGGGGTGAGCTGCACGGCTGATGCATACCTTACTCCCGTGTTGAGAAAATATTTGGATGGATTCTTTGGTGGGTTTGATGAAGAGCTGAAGGGAAACGAAGGTGGTCAAGGAGGAAGGAAGGCCAGAGTTGAATTCATGGCTAGTGACGGGGGACTATTGGATTTGGATAATTTCTCAGGTTTAAGAAGTCTATTGAGTGGGCCTGCTGGTGGTGTCGTTGGGTATGCATTGACTAGTTGGGATGCAAAGAGGAAGGTTCCTATCATTGGGTGAGTTGATAACTATGGTCTGACTTGGTAACACTGACCCTCGTGGCCCCCTTTGGTCAGTATTGATGTTGGAGGCACATCTACGGACGTTTCCCGGTTCGACGGTCGCTATGAGGTCGTATATGAAACTACCACTGCAAGCATATCCATTCAGTCTCCACAGCTCGACATCAACACCGTCGCAGCGGGTGGCGGATCCTGCCTCACTCTCCTCAATGGGCTCTTTAGGGCAGGCCCGGAAAGCGCAGGTGCTGATCCTGGTCCAGTCTGTTATCGGTAGAGGACTGCGTCCTTCGGCATATATTCCCTATCTAATGGTTGATTTGGTTTAACAGAAAGGGCGGGCCACTTGCAATAACTGACGCGAATCTTCTCCTTGGTCGGCTTATCCCTGATTATTTCCCGAAGATATTTGGGAGGAACGAGAACGAGGGTCTTGATGTTGAAGCAACTCGTGCTGCTTTCGTTGAGCTAGCAAGGGAGGTGAATGAAAGCTATGCAGAGGGCTCTAGGAAAGCGCTCACTTTGGACGAAATTGTATACGGGTACGCATCTAGCGGCTGAGCTGGGGGAGGGCGTAGAAACTGATGTGAGCTGGCAGATTCATCAAAGTTGCGAATGAGACGATGTGCAGGCCAATCCGGGCGCTGACCGAGGCGAAGGGTTATGCTTTGTCTAAGCATGTGTGAGTTTTATTATCGACCTATGGTTCAATTGGTGCTGATTCTCTACTTAGCCTGGCAAGCTTTGGTGGTGGTGAGTTCAAGAGTTCCCTAACCTTTCCCAACGATTTCTAAGCATACTTTTCAATCTCAGCCGGTGGCCAACATGCAACGGAGATTGCACGTCTACTAGGAATACAAAAGATTCTCATTCATCGACACAGTTCAATCCTCTCCGCTTATGGTCTTGCACTCGCTGACAGGTCCGCCACCCGATCGCTGTTGATTCACGTTGGTTGGTCATTGACAAGCATTTTTCAGAGCTTACGAACTTCAAGAACCTTCCGCCATTGTATTCGGTGACGCAAACGTGACATCACTCAAAGCGCGCCTGGACGACTTGTCGAATCAAGTTCTCGCTGCTCTTGAAAAACAAGGCTTTACTGGTAAACGTGTCCGGGTTGAACGTATGCTAAACATGCGCTTCGATGGGACGGACACGGCTGTGATGGTTCCTCAGAATGCCGAAGGGCCAAACGAGATCGAGATTGGAAGAGAGGAAGATTTCGGCGAAAAGTTCAATAAAATGTATAAGGATCAGTTTGGATTCGTCTTAGAAGGGAAGGATATCATTGTCGATGACATCAAGGTACGAATTGTGTTTGAGGTGAGATTAAGCGTCGTAATTAATGAAACGATTCATAGGTTCGCGGTATAGGGAAGACGTTCGATTTCCTCGGTCCCTCCGTTTGGGATGAGCTGGATACTTTGAAGACGACGAGAATTACACCTGATTCCAACAAAGTCGAGGCAAAGCACAGCGTTTACTTTGAAGGGCCGGGTCGTATTGAGACGCCTGTGTATCTTTTGGATAAGCTTCACGTGGGCGATCAAATCCACGGGCCAGCTATGATTTTGGACAGTACGCAGACTATCGTGTTGGATCCTTACAGTCAGTCTACTGTGACGAAGAGTCATTTGTACATCGAACTGAAGTAGTGACAGTGTTGAAATAAGAATTTGGACTTTTGGCTGCGAATGAGCCAGCTGGGGAGCAATGCTGATCGACCCCTAATATAATTCGGTCTCGCATTCCTTGACAATTTACGGTGAGAGCAGGGTGTGATGAGTTCTGAAGGAGTGAGGAGGGATGAGGGTAACAACCCCATGGGGTCATTAACCTGTTGAGCACCGGGGTCGGAGTCTGCATAGTCGGAACATATCCTCCTCCGGACCTTTTGTTGAGGAAATTGCTCACGGGTCCATTTGCGCCGCCTCGTCAAGACGCTGAAAGAAGGGGGTTCGTCACAGATGATTTCTTGCCTCACACCAGTGGTGGCAAGTTCAGACGGTTCAGTTGTGACTGCCATCTAATCGACTTTATTGAATGTCTACTCTCAGCGAAAGCGGCGCGGGATGTTCTTCCTGTTATGGATGAGCCATTGAGCTTGGCGAGCGGTCTAGGAATGCCCGAGTTCATTTTACACACTCGGACTGGCTGCATAGCTGGGATCTGATATGCCGCTTTCATCACCAAGCATGATGGGCAGCCGCGCATCGATATCATGATCCCGATCCTGCTTGATCCAAAGAAAACACAGCCAGAGCTACTTCGGGAGAATATGGTTATCCAGGTCAAGAACCGTCCGAGTCGCACACCGGGAAATACCATGACCTAGTTCACAACCTCGTGCCAATCAGCTGTGATGGAGTCAGGCGCGTTACCTCACGAGCTCGTTCGGTTGGGTTGGGTGGGTTGGTTGAGGGTTCCTAGCACCGGAATGGCAGAAATGGGAGCCCCCCAAACCCCCACGATTGCCCTATGTGCAGCTGCATCCGCATTTTCTTGTAGCAACTGAATTTGGTAAACTCCACTAAGATACAGCTACCGCAGGACTAAGGAGCCTAAACTGAGGAAAATCACTCAAGAGTTAGGAGAGGCACAACCGGAACGAAGACAGACACAGAGTAAACACCACTAGATTTTTCCTATATAGAAGCGGGAAATTATGGCTCCGGAAAGTGGAGGCCAGGTGCAAAAGACAACGATACGCACAACATTAACATCGAAAGCAAGTTGAGACATTGGTGTCAACATAACCATGTCGAGGGCAACCACAGAAGTCGCCCATAGTAAAAGCAGAGAGGAACGGGCGAAGTAGGTCAGAATGAGCCTTCACGAGGATGGGCGTAGACAGCTAGGGTGCAATATTGATCCGGAATCATGGATAATTCAGTCTCGCGGAGTTCTGAAAGTGTGATGAGGGCTTCTTCCTGAGCGGTACTCTCAGATGGGGATATTTCATTGTGAAAAGGCGGTTAATAATCCCAGCTGGTGCTGGGACTATTAGCCTGTTGAGCATCGGGGTCGGAGTAGTGATGATCGCCAATCGAGTGGGACGCTGATCCAAATCAATGCATAATGTAACGTCCCGACCAGAGAGTGGATCACTATATGTAATAGCAAGCATTATGCAAAAAGTGGCATTTCCTTTCTGTCTGGCCCATGGTTGACGAACAAACACGGGCATTGGATGAGGACTAGTCTGAATCGCAACACAAAAAGCTTCTTTTCAAAGTCACCAACGAATCCGAGTGGAGTATTCCACGCCCTGCGAAAGTCAAATCTTCTTGCCTCATCGCACACACTCCCGGGGGGACTCGCGCCGCTGTCATGGCCTCTCCGAGTTTTCGTCAAAAACATCGTGAGGCAGCCAGGCAAACTCCGTAATTGGCCGAGCTTGCGAGGCTTTTGTTTCCAGAGGGGGTTCGATTTTTTTTACCGTGGGATTCCGCATGGCCTCCCGTGGGAAATGGGCAAGCTCGGCCATCCAGTTTGAGGGGAACCCTCATAACAAAAGTAGCCTGGTTCAAAAAGTCGTGCTTCCGATCGCTCGCCCAATCCTCAACCAATCTCCACGATTCAACATGCGTTGGAAAGCGCCGAAGCAGGTAAATGTGGTCATCTATGTCATGTAGGGTATAGAAAAATGTGTCCCAAATGCAGTAAATAAAAAAAATTCAGCCCAGTAAAGCAAACAGAAAGCCTATTTGCGCTTCATATATCATCCATGCATCCACACCAAGCCTCTGACACCAATTACAAGTTGAAATGACCCTCCAGTTATGTAGAATTGTACCCTCCATGCTTTGGCGACCCAAATTCCTTTTGGCCGTGGGAAATTCAGGCGTAGGTCGTGGGAATTTAGGAGCGGAGAGGGCACAATTCTGCATGACGGGAAGCTCATTTCAGCTTGGAATTGGTGTCAAAGGCTCGGTATGGACGTATGGATGGTATCTAAAGCACAAACAGGCTTTCTGTTTACTTTACTGGGCTGTATTGATAAATTTACTGCATTTGGTACACTTTTTTAAAACTGATCCATGCCCTACGTAAAATACATCGCTACATTTCCCTACTGAGGCGCTTTTTAACGCATGTTGAATCGTGGAGATTGGGTGAGAATTGGGTGAGCAATAGCGTAAAACTCTCAAGGCGCGATCACAGAGTTTGCAATAAGAGAGTTGGCTTGATTACGTAAGGCTAATCACCCCTGATTGGATCCCACCCTTGTGCTGCGCTCAGCGCCTAAGCAAAAGCGAAGATGGTACGTCCACAACCCTCTCGAAATTCTACGGCATATCAATCCACCACTAGCCGTTCGGATTACCGAGGATCAGGAGTGTGCGGCGCAAGGAAGAAGATAGTGACGCTCATGCTCAAGTCTGCAAGGCCACAAGCCTGGATCCTAAATGTCCGACCGAGTCACAGTTGAAGAAGATCGCGGAAATGACCTATCATAGGTCTGTGCTGGGTGCGGTAGGGACTCTTCATGTCATTCACTCTGGTTAAATTGTTATAGACCACAATTCCAACAAGTCATGGAGGCGATAACCATCAAGCTTGTCGGAACGGATGGTGATTGGCAGCACATTTATAAAGTAGGTCCCGTTGCCCCTATTCTATGATTTATGAATGCGATTGTTATTCGCGTAGGCCCTCATCCTATTGGAGTATTGTCTTCGCGCTGGTTCGAGAGATGTGGCTCTCCACTTCAGGTACGGGCGCACGTTTCTAGTCTTTATAAGACAAGGAAATCCTCTGAACTAAAGCCTCTGCAACACGTCTAAAATACGTAATTCCCCACAAAAGAGGACAGTTCTATGTCATCGACGTCCTGGAACGTTTCCAATGCGTCGACGAGAAACATATCGATCAAGGATTACACGTACGGCAATTGGCGAAACAGACAAACGACTTACTGCGGAATAATGAGCGACTTCGTTCGCAGAGAAGGACGCACTCGTTGCATCTTGATCCTGGCGAGGATCGGCCGACTGAGGAGGAGCTAATACAACAGGCCATCGAGCAGAGTAGAAGAACGCAACAACTTTCTGGTGGTTCGAATCCAGCTGTCCGTCCCATTCAGATCCCAGAGTCGAATCTCGATTTAGAAAGGGACGGGGATGAACGTGAGCTTCACTAAATACTTTCACCTTTCTTTTTCCTGTCTTTTTTTCTGACCTTTCTTTTGGAATCAGGATTAGGGTTCCAACCGAGTTACTACCAGAAGAAAGTCCTAGAAGCGACGAATAATGATCCGGAAGGTCCAAGCGAGGAACAAATGAAGAAGATCGCTCGATTAACGGATACGCATCAAACCATGTAAGTAAACCGAGTGCACTATGAACTCTCTGGCCCCCTTGCGGTCTCCAAAGGACACTGTGACTTAGTCAACTACTGCGGACAGGGAATATTTCCTTAAGGTTATGGAGGTCATACACATGAGGCTCGAAGCGAAGGGAAAGAAATGGAGATACGTCTTTAAGGTTAAGACCATTATTGTCACGCCTCTATTTTTCCTAAGCTTTCTCTCACCGTTCAACGCAGGCGTTGCTGTTGTTAGAATACTGTCTCCGCAGCGGCTCGATTGACGTAGCTAACTACTTCCGGTACGTACCAGGTCCTCATCCACCTCTATTGCGATCACCTACTAATAAAAAAACCCACGCTCAGCCACCAAGAATACTTGAAACACATAGAATCCCTCCGACTTTTCCAATACACTGATGAAGGTGGAAAGGACAAGGGAGCACTGGTCAGAAGGCTAGCTAATAACGTGTATATTCTTCTTAAAGATAAGGATAAGTTGAAGAGGGAGAGGAGAGGGAGGACCTTATATCCGGATAGTAGTGAGGAAGATGAGGGCGAAAGTGGAGACGAAGTTAGGTCGCCCGGTCCTGAGATGAGGAAGGGCGGAGGTAGCGTCGACCGCTCGAGTGACTTGAATCCGACGGGAGCAACTGAGGAGGGTAAGTACTTCTCCTCCCACCCCTCTTGGTTTCTTCATCCAACGCTGAACTCGTTCTTGCTTTTCATTTCTCCATTCTTCTGGGCAGAACTCTTGAACAGGGCGATAGAAGAAAGCAAAGCAATGGCCAATGGTACAAGCGGAAAGAGTCCAATAGCTTCTGCATCCACCTCCCCTATCACCCCCTCCTCTACCCGTCATCACCTCACAGACGGCCAAGGTGATCTAGACCCGAAAGAACTAGATGATCTTGAGAGGGCGATTCAGGAAAGTAGGATGATGTATGATGCCGCCGAACGAGAGAGATTACAAAGGGAGAGCCAGCGGGAACGGGAGCAGGAAAGGAATCGACAAAGGGAGTTGGTCCCGCGGACGGAGAAACGGGGTAGAATTTATCCCGATGTTGGGTGAGTTTACCTATTCATCACGCGCCTAGACCTACGCGCGTTTGTGTTAGCTGTTGTACTATAACTTACGACCCTCGTGCCTTTCTCTGTCTATGACCCTATAGCATAAGCAGCAACCGCACAAGTCCCGAAACGTTGCGTTTTCCCCTTCCTACCTTCGAAAAGACCACCTTAGCGCCACGTCCCCCTATCTCCCCTTCAGCATCGACATCAGCACGCTCCCGCAGTGGTTCTTCTGTCATTCACAGCCCTTCGCTCAGCATCACGAATCCAGATCCTGGTCCAAGTCGTCATCTTTCCTACTCAAGTTCCCAAACAAGACCAACTTCTTCACACACAGCCTCATCTCCACATCATGATGAACAGTCACCCATCCCAAGGACCGAAATGACACATTTCCCAGCGCCGGAGCGGGAACATGAAAGGCCACCGGTACCGTCTGGATCACCTACACTTATGCTTCCTCCACGCCTAGACTTTGAGGAGCTAGAGGGAGAGGAGGAACTGCCTCCTTACTCTGAAATGTGATAAGCAGGGCATCCACATCGGCATGCGAATGTAGAAATTACTCATGGACCCCTTTCTTTCTTTCTTTCTTTCCATTTTCTTTCTCATGTCTTGCGGATCTTAGTTGATGAAATCCTTTGACTGTGACTTTAGCAGTTAGCATAGCGGCTTGCGATCCCCATGCAGTATTTGGGCTGGGATCCGCCACGCATCTCATGCATGTCACACATGTATACACACACACACGACATTGCACGGACAAATTCAATCTCATATACCCCAACATGCAGTACTAGTGTTCGTCTATGATCCTCTATATCGGAGGTCTTCTGATATGTCGCGAACAGGCAATCATGATCGAATGCAAAGCATTTATTCTCACAACGTGAATTCGAAATTTCTCGTTCTCACGGGGGGTGAAAGATCCCGGGATTCCCACCCAGTTTCCAAGATCCTTTATAAGACCATCCACACCAACCTCGACCATTCTTCGACGTCTTTCAAGAGCTGCTATAACACCCCTCCCCCCCCCCCCTCTCTCTCTCTCATTAGTAACATTTAATCATGACTAAAGCCGTTGTTCTGGGTGCAGCAGGCAAGTCTCCATCCATCCATCCATCCATCCTTTCGTGAACAAGATGTTAACATCGTTTTCCCGGTCCTAGGTGGTATCGGCCAACCGCTTTCCCTCCTCCTCAAAACTAACCCACTTATCACTGAGGTATGTCTCTTGGTTCCCTTCGATCTGTCTCGATCTCGCTGGGAGGGGCACTATAGTGTTTTCTTATCGTGGAAAAAAATTCACTCGCATATATATATATTTACTCACCAAAAATCATTGGTTCCGTTTGTCTTCCCCCCTCCTTAGCTTGGTCTCTATGATATCGTGAACACTCCTGGTGTTGCTGCCGATTTGTCTCACATCGCTTCACCTGCAAAAGTTTCTGGATACCTCCCTCCAGATGACGGCTTGAAAAAGACGCTTCGAGGTGCTGATATTGTCGTCATTCCTGCTGGAGTCCCTCGCAAACCCGGTATGACTCGGTATGTTAAATAACAAACTTTTTTTGCTCCTGCTCCTCCCTCGGCCGCTTGAAATACATGATCGCTGAACCCGGCTTTTTTTTTTTTCAGTGATGATTTGTTCAAGATCAACGCGGGTATCGTGCGCGATTTGGCAATTGCGATCGCAGAGGTTGCTCCAAAAGCTTTGGTTCTCGTCATTTCCAGTTGAGTCAACCCTTCATCCTCATCCATCATCACCACCTTCGCCCAAGTTAAGACTTGTATGTATAAACACCTGCTGACCCTATTATGCCTCTAGATCCTGTCAATAGGTGAACAATTTTCCCCCTCCCCTATTGAAAGACATGTCGAGACTGACTCGATGCATTCTTTGGGTGGGCAGCACCGTTCCCATCGTTGCCGAAGTCTTCAAGAAAAGGGGCGTCTTCGACCCTAAGCGGATCTTTGGCGTTACGACCCTAGACGTGGTACGCGCATCCACATTTGTAGCTGAAATCGTCAAGGACACCACGATCGCTCCCGAAGTCCGAGTCCCAGTGGTGGGAGGTCATTCTGGAGTGACGATCATCCCACTACTCTCGCAATCGTCTCACCCTCTCCCTGCTTCGACCGATCTCAAAGTGCTCACGAACCGTATTCAATTTGGTGGAGATGAAGTCGTGAAGGCTAAAGATGGAGCTGGAAGCGCTACGCTTAGCATGGCTTATGCTGGTGCTGAGTTTACTGAGAAAGCGTTGAGGGCTCTCAAGGGAGAGAAGGGGATCGTTGCACCTAGTTTTGTTCATTTGAGCGCGGATTCTGAAGGAGGTAAGGAGGTCGTGAAAGAGATTGGCACCGAGCTTGCCTATTTCTCTGCACCTGTCGAACTCGGGGTAAGGAATCCTTCCTCCTCTTACTTTTTCCCCCAAACAAACGGTTAAAAAATGGGTCTTTGTTTGTTAGCCCAATGGCGTGGAAAAGATTTTCCCACTTGGAAAGACTACCGAGTATGAGAAAGAACTCATCAAGGCCGCTATCGCTGATCTGCAGGACAACATTAGCAAGGCAAGTTTTTGGTTTTTCTTGGGTGGGTGTGGGAGATAAACTCACTGCGTCAATGACAGGGAGTTGGCTTCATCGAGCAATCCAAGCTGTAAAGAGTCGGGGATTTGTTCCAGAGATATATATATATATTCCTTTTTTTCTTTCGTAGTTTTCGCCGAACGCGTGTACAAATATACATTAAACTCAAGTCTATTCTATTAAAGTGGCTTTCGATGGAAAGTTGGGAGATTGTGCATCAAGTCCCATTATTCAAGTGCAAAGGCGCATATGTATCGACGAACGTCCAGCTATATAGTACGTCGAAAACCAACCCACCGTACATGATCGATCATCATAGTAGCGAGAGAATAAATAAATGTCCCCTCCCCTCCAAACATTTGACTCGACGTGCGACTATGATCGATTGAATTTCTCGTGATCCGGGGGTACTGATTATGAAGCTGCATGCAAATATTAGACGTTTGCACACGCATTTTTACACAGCTGGTACTATGTTTCCTAGATGAATAAAGTAGGCCATACATAATTAACATATCAACTTAGGAACACCGAAACCACCGACGGTACGGGCACCAGACCCGGCCGCCCGAAGACCGGCGATTGTTTTTTGTTTTGTTTTCAAAACATTCCATTCACATTATAAGGGGGAATCGATAACAGGTCGTGGGGGATGACAAACAAAGTTGTGGGATCCGGAAAGAACGCGTTATGTAGAGAAGATGTATGAAGGGAAAGAAAGACGGGTGAATTAATTGCACTTGCGCATGTGAATCTTTTTCTTCGAGGAGAACCAGTTACAGTAATCAAAGGTTCGCGTCATATGTGAACGCATGGGTTGTCTTATCCTCCGACCGGCTCGGGCAGGGAAAACAAAAAAAGAATGCTGATTAATTGGGCGTTGCGCGCGCGTCGAGTATGTTACATTCAGTGTCACGGAAAGAGTGTCCCGGGTATGTTCCTGAGCTGGAGATGGAGATCCCGGGGGTTGCCAGGACCGGGAAAAAGAATTCAAAAGGGGTTTTTGACTTCGGGATCGGAAAGAGCAGGGATGACATCATAAATATTTTCAAACAAGAAAAAACGCTTTCACGACATAGAGACGAGTCCAGACTCAATATTGTTACACTAGTGGAAGATATGTTCGCGCTGGGAAGGGGGGGGGGGGGGAATTGAAAGAACGCGCGCTCCATGTAAAATGTACTACTAGCGTAAATCCGATCCAACCATACGAATCGCTTAATACCCTGCTCTAGCCGATCTTCGACCCCAACCTCTCCTTGACGTTGTCGAAGTATGTCTTCTTCGACCTGAACAACATCGGCAGCAGATGATATCGATGATGAAGTCCCAGATGGATACGAGGATCTGATTGGAGTTATAGATGATATCATTTCAGTCAGCGCGTCGAGTAAGGAAGGGAAGTGGGGGGGGAGAGAAGAGAGCAAAGGAAGGTCGAACGTACCCATGTGATTCCTCCAACGATGGACAGGATGACGTTCGCGATGGCACTGATGACCGATTCGATAGCACCTCCTATGGCAGAGACGACAGATCCCTAAGATTCGACCCCCAACATTAACCAGCGCGTTTTGTTCATGAGTATTTCGTATTTCTGGAGGAAAAAAAAGAGTGACAAGATTTACCATGTTGTTGTTGTTTTTCTCTTTGTCTTTGGGGGTGCAAAGTACTTGTAGTAGTAGTACGTAGTAGTAGTAGATGGTTGGAAGCTGTTCGTTCCAACTGTCCTTATGTACTTACTCAGTGTTGGCGCAAGAACGTTTGACTCCACTGCTCCACGGTCGCATTATGAGGCTTGACGTCGTTGGCTTGGAGTGGGTCCCATGGTTTACTGGGGTACATCACTTGACCCAACCCCCATCTCCGCTCCACTCAAGCAGGTCACCTGCCGACTACGTTTTCAGATGCGCTGTTTGGTACCACGGATACTATACCATTTTAGAAAGTTGGAGTTCCAGCCAGCTGCCGGCTCATAATGACCGAATCATCAGTTATGTAATCAAAAGTGACGTCATAAGGTACACGGTTCAAGGCAATCAAGCACGGTCGGGGTTCGAGTTTGAATACTTTAAATATATATATATACATATACATTATATTTTAGGGAAATATCGTTGATTGTGTCATTCAGATTCAGAAAAGCGCTCGAGTTGATCTTCTTTAGTGTCAGTGGCTGTACGTTTCTCTGACATGATAACATCCCCCCCCCCCCAGCAACACCCCCCACGCATACCCAGACACGGCTTAATCCCAGACATCACAAACCGGAGGGTCCCGTCGTCCTGACCACACCAACCAGATAACCTACCTTGTATTGACGAGCCCCTCATGTACAGTCAGATGTAATTAACCGGGCTAGCCGCACTGCCACGTACAAACGCGGCCGCGGGGGTAACAAAATAGAGTACAACAACAACAACAATCCCCCCCCCCCCCAGCAACCGGGTCTATTCTGAGTTGACGTGGTGCGTGACAGGGCGCTTCCTGCATGGCAGCCCCTCCACTTGCTCTCCCACCAAGGAACTGTGGTCTTTATCGCCGAAAAAGAAATATCAATCTATCTGTGTACATGGCTACCAATGAAATAATCACACTTAATGGTAGGGGTGCCATATCTCATCAGTTACAGATTCTTAATGGGGCTATGTGCGATCTGGTACCCGGCATGGGAAACGTCGGTCTCAATATCCCGACTGGTCAGATCATCGATATTGTTTCCGGCTCCGAGAAGGCTGTTACAGTGTTAGTTTTTTTTTTTTTCAGTCGGCGGTACACTTGATCCGTACTCATCTTGTTTGCTATATATATATCCTAGTCCGCCGGCAAATGCCTCGGATGAGGAGCCCAGATACATCATTAGCTTTACAAGGCGCGTTGCATGCATTTTTCCATGGGCTAGGTTTGTCGAAGATCATTTCTCATCATATCGTCATTTGACTGCGTCCCAAGGCAAAGGATACTTGTCGGGAAGGCCTAGTTATCCCTCTTTCCCTTCGACGATGTATATATCTCCTCTACTTGCATGTGCCTCAAAGCGTAAAAATGCCATTTAAATACTGACGAATGAGCGCTGAGTGTCACGCCCGGCACTGGCGAGAACGAGTTCCCGATCGATTGACGATTGATAGAATTGCACCTAACAATACCTACCTTCCAACCCCTTCCTTATTGCCCTTCACTCCGGCTCCGTGGACATTCAATAATAGTGCACCGCGCCAGTGACTGGTTTTTGAAGGTAAATCCCTGCGAGGGAGCCGGCTTGTACCGTGAATAATAAACCCTAACTTGCTACGAGCGGGGTGTCGTCCAATACTTTTTCCAAAGTAGAAAATTGGCGATGTCCAATCTATCGTGCAACGAACGTGGCCCTGCTGACGCAAGTGTCTCTTTACAACCGCCGAAAGGGTCGTTAGTTTCAATCGGAAATCCACTGTGCAACTGGATCTGTACTCACCTCTGTCACTGCTATATCCTACTAGCCTGCCGGAGATACCGGTGTCGCAGTGAATGGCCTCAGATGAAGAACCCACTGCGTACGTTATCAGGAACAGCGGCACTGGTAAAGAGAGCATGCATCTTCAACGGCCTATCGAAGACCATCCGCATCCCTTCGGCTGGCTCCCCCCGGCGACAGGAAGCTTTGTCCCATTGATCAGCGATGTATACATGAGTCGCAGGCGCAGTAGTGAAATGTCATCTCAAGAGACTGGAAATTAAGCACCGAGGTCACGCAGAGCTCCAGGTCCGCCAAGAGGGATTCTCATGATAATTCGGTGCCTTGCTTCGGTTAGGTTCGACGTTCGTCATAGAATAGCGAGTACAGGAGATCGCTATGGAGTCTGACTGAGTCCGGAACTGGGGAAACTGAGTACCGACAGAGAGGGTCGACCTAGAAGGCTAAAAAAAAGATGTGGATTTGTTGAAGGAGGCAAAAGGCGTGGGCGTGGTCAGTTTTTATAAGCTATGGGAAGAAAGTCAAGATGGGAAAACCGCACCAGGGGATCTTTTGGGGGATAAGTTGGGGATGGGTCACTATGGTAGTGATAATAGGATACCAGGTGGAACGGAGAGGGTGAAAGGGAAGCGGGAAGAGGAAAGCGAAGAGACGTCGTCTGAAGGAATGTATGAGAAATCAACCATGTACCTGACAAGGAGTTTGCCTTAGTCGTTCATTCCGGGGAAGAACTGATATGCAGTGGGTTCCAAGCTTGTGCTTGTGCACTTGCACACAGTGCGATGATTCGAAAAAAGGTCATTGTGCAGATCAAGATTCAGAGTCATGGAACGAAAAGCGAGAGAGAGAGAGCGAGCGAGCGAGCGAGCGAGTGACGAACTTGTAAAGGGTGTGAGTATGTGACATTAGCGGTTCGTGTGTTGACAAATTCTTCCGTCAGGGCGTGGGGTTGAGAATTGAATCGCTTTGCCAATCCCACAGCATTGAAGAATTTTCTCGGGCGCCATAGGACGGCTAGCGCCCCCCCCCCCCCAAAAAAAAAAGCTAACCTGCTAACTGTCATTTGATCCGGCCATGGTAACGGACCTACCAGACCGATTCTGCATCATGATATCGCATAGTATAGTGCGGAAGACGATCTTCTACGCCATAGATTCGTAACCACCGCGCATCTGATGAGCCCTGAACATCAATGCATGGCCAAGACCCAAAGTAGATGAGGAGTGTTCTCGTTAAAGAGAGGCTGGCCACTTGCCTAATGAGGCGGCCTATCTACTCCCGTGAGGTCGGAGATCGCTTCAGGCTGTGAGTATTGTTAATTTGGTTGTGACTGGTCCAGCCTACAGGGATTGGATTGGTCTCACTCCCCGGCCGGGGCCCTTAGGGCTGCAATTCTATCCCCTTGGGCACCTCCCAAGAATCGGAAGACCGCTTTGAGGGAGTAAAACGCTAAGGCAAGCTTACCATTCGACCTTCCTTTCTGGTCATGTTTGGGGCCCTTGAATTTTAAATAATACTGTATTCATTCATTCCTGATCTGCTTTGCTCGCCATTGCTTTTCTTCGCTGTAGATCGAACTTCACAACACCAATGATCTGCTGGGACACTCAGTATGCCATAGCTGATAGTAAATAGGGATGGCCCCACGCATGGGACAAGATTAAAGTAAATCATTGTCGATGCATCCTCTCTTCAATTTCGTAGAATCGTGAGAGGCAGTATCAGTGAAAAGATATCTGTTATCGATCTATGGTGGTCGTATACTATCACCAAGCACACACCGTACTGTGCTGTGCTTCTGAACTTGAACTCTCGCTCCACAGATAGCTCGCGACAGAGATGAGGTCACACCAGCCAGGTCATGCGACCACGGAAGCCAGGCTTCATGATCTGTGTGAGAGCTTCCAAGTGAACTGTATTGAGGCGTACAGGACACACCCCCCCCTTCACCAGGAACCTACTCCGAGCCCTCTTCCTCACTAGCGATTTCGAGTGGTCTAGGATGTTTCTGTGTCATTGCATCGGTTTCTAATACCCAGCTTTTGTGGTATCTGATGAACTCATTTTGCTTCCAGCCAATTCAATGTCGATTTTGCCCATGCTAAGCGAAACACCTTGAGGACCCAACCATTTGATCCATACTTGCAAGCCACACACTGCAGACCCCCCCCGAAGAGGCATTTCATTTCCACGCGATCCCAACCCCAAGGTTGATCCGCATGCACCTCTTCCTACCTGGTCGTGTAACACGTTATTCTTTGGTTATCTCTATACAATTCATTTTATATTGCCACATGTATGTCCCGCACGGGCTCCGGGCGGCGCCCAGCTAGCATGTCGTTGCGATGGTTTCGCATCAGACGGCTGTTGGTCGATTCCCAAAAAATCCCTAATATAATGCTAAGGTCTGGTTGTTGGGGGTCCTCAAGAGATGCTCGAGTTTATCTCTGCACTGATTTGCAGGTCACATACGCAGAATGAAACGAAGGAAGAAAAATCCATCCTTGATAATATACGCTAGTTATGACAGCAATATAATGGCGAGTCGCCGTGAACGGAAATCTGGGCCCGGGCAGGTTGTTCAGGTAGTGGATGTGGTCGAGTATTTGATGAATTGCATGGACACTGTGGGTAATTTCGCATTTCCATTTCCGATCTGGCTATTGTTTGCCTTACGGCGGAAAGCCGAACGGGCGGGACCCAGCATCGTCTTTCGGTGAAGGGGGCGGCGTTATAAAATAAGCGTCTGACAAATACCTCTTGGCGCACAGGCCCTGGCCTTTGGCATGTTGGAATATCAACGCTCATCGACAACAGCCGAGCTGCAGCGTGGATTGGGGAGTTTTTATTTTAACTTAATATCGTCGTGACTAACAACGACTATACCTTTTTGTTTCAGAGTCGCGGTACCACGCGCTCCCAATTTACTTTGTCTTATATCGCCAGTTGTCACTGGCAATCGCTTTAAGCGATATTGGCTCCAGTCGTATAAGTTACGCTGGACGCCGTAATTTTTCTCCCTCCCTCAGTTCTCTATTCCGAGACTGAGGTGATACCATTTCTTTCCTATCTGTGTTTGCGCATAACTCATTGTATTTTCATGTTATAGTTACGCGCGATAGGTAAAAATCTTAATACTAGTTCTCTATTTCGAGACTGAGTTACGCGCGATAGCTCCTATTCCATTATGGCAACCATCGTGCAACGCTTTCCGCCACTTCGGCGAAGGGGGACCATGCTATTTATTTGAAGTGAACTAGATTTTCGCTGCAATTCAGTTGGATTGCACTGACGAGATCAAAAGGTACTGTGGCGCTCGACTCGCGGCCATCCGGCCAACTCAAGGAAATCAGGGTAAATAGGCAGCCAATGACGAAGTAGCTATTGCCTAGAGTTTACGCCGCGGCCCCTGGACTCCAGTTGCTACGTAGATTTCCTTTCTTGCATGGTTGAGGTCCGTCCGCGCTCATCAATATCATCGGGCAGTAGAAAAGCTAGGGATATCCCACCATCTCCATCCCTTCATCAACACAAATCTACCACCTTCACCATCTTGGAAAGGTCCCAGGACATCACAACACCCATAACACGCTGTGTGTATTAACGTCCTAGACCCTCTCCTCTAAGTCGTGCAGTTTTATTGACCTCGTCTACATCATGCCATGTCCCAGGATCCACATCGTTGACTTGAGCAGTTCAGTTCCAACAAATCCAGTCTACCATGTCAGAAGAACTTGATCATCATTCTCAAAACCTCTCAGCCTTAGAAGGGGTTCTGACGGAGCATGAGGTCGGCACTATTCTGTGGGCTGACGATCCAGTTGACTGACAGCCTGCATACATGCAGGAATTACCAGTGGATATCGTCACCACTCAAGGCGCTGAAAGCACCGATTTGACAAGACGTAGCAGCGGCCATCAGGCTCTAGCAGTGAGCGAAATCTTCTCACTCACGCTTCCTGACCACAGCTGATCGTGTATTGCAATCGCGCATGCAAGAGTGACTCTGTGCCCGAAGTTGAACATCAGCTAGACCCGTCTGGCTCGACCACGGATCCTCATCCAGGTGAGTGATTGCTATGACTTGTTGAATACCAGTGCTCAACTCCAGGATCAGTGGGCAACGCGACGGATAGCAGCCCTTTCCCTGCATTCCCTGCCGAGCAGCTCTTACTAGCGACTCATAACCCATGGCTTAACGAAGACGAGTCCCTCCACCATCGCGGAACGCCCTTCGGACGGCTGTAAAACGTAACTACATACTGCAGTATGTCATTAAGATGAAAAATTATTAAATTTGTTTTAAGATAAGACACCGGGAAGGCCCCACCTGAACATTGGGAGGAGAATGGAGAGGAACATTGTCGAAACAAAAAATTGTTCCATTTGGTTGGCGGCTCTCAGTGACTAAACATTCCTCTGATAACCATGTCGGACTCGGAACATGGCTCATACGAGTCGCCGGTTCATTTTAATCATCTATTCTGCCCACAGAGGAAGGGAGGGACGACCGCGATGGGCGAGTACTGCGCAACTTCTGGGTGCAATCCCGAGCAAACAAACCATAAGCCCAGACCCGTACGTATACTCTACCAGAACCCCTACTGATCCAGATAAGTGGCGTGTTACGACAGAAGCAGAGCATATGAGGAAAACTGGTGAATGGGCATTTGGTGAACACCTTGATTAGGGCAGGTCTTTTAAAAGATGCTATGGAAATCGGTGGCAACTGTAAGTGGCACGTTCCCACTCGACTTCAGCGGATGAGGGCGGAACCGCGTTAAGATCGCTTTCGAGCGCCAGAAATCGGCGGACACCTGCGCGTAGCCGGCGGGACGTTGGTATCATCGAAGAAAAGAACGTGGACGGAACAGAATGAGACGACATGGCTTAACCGACATAGCAATTTAAGTATTGTGACTTATTAAAGGGGGCTACTCCAATGTGCCAATAAGGATAGGAAGCGATAAATATATTAAAGGCTGCCGTGCAGTCAAAAGGATGTCACCAGATCGAGAGACCGGGAAATTAAATTCCTGAGGGACGCTGGTTCCTCCATTTTCATTTTTTGTTCTTTTGCACCTGGCGTTCTTTACTGGAGCTCGACTTGGACTGAGTTTCTTTGGAGGCGGAGGTTAAGATCTAGGCAAATTGGCGCTTCGGCAGACCCCGGCGGCCCCAGATTTCACACTTGTAAAAACTCGGAAGAGCTATGTAAATCCGCCACAAATGCAGCAAAGCTTCGGGTGTTAATGGAATTAGAAGAAGAATATTGCAGTTTCAAGATCGGCGGCAGAATGGTTGTGAACTCTCGGATCTGTGCATACATGACGTCAGGCCGCCGAATGCACAGGTGATGTTCGTGATTGGCCGAGCTTGCGAGGCTTGTTTTCTTCCGTGGGAAGGCGCATGGCTGTGGGAATGGTCCCCGTGGGACACCAGATCCAAATGGATCACACTCGCGCGCTGGCGCTGCAAGCTCGGCCATCCAAAACAAGAGTAGCTGGTTCGATCGGTACGTGTGCCGTAGCTGATGGTAAATAGGAATTGCCTTGTGCACGGAACAGGACCACTGTGGGTAAAACAAATCGATTAATCATTGTCGATGCACGCACATCCCCTCCTTCCTTTGGTTTCGCGAATGGTATGTCAGCGCAAAGATGCCATTATCAAGTAGTGATGACCGTAGATTATTACTGGTGTAAATCCCTTATCGTTCTTCCTAAACTGCCTGGATTTCTACGCACGTCAATGACAGCTCGCAATAGATACTGGGTCATACCAACTAGGCCATGGAAGTCAGGCGTCATGATCTGCAAGGCAGCTCCCAAGCGAGCCGTATAGTATGCTTCTTGCAGCTTGGAACGCGCGTGCTTTCTAGTCCCCTTCGCCACTGTCAATTCGAGTGGCCTGTGACTACGCCACGCCATTGTGCGATTCTGTGTGAAGAAAATTATTCGATCGGTCTGCATCTCCACTTGCAAGTACTCACTACAAATCTTCCCGAAGCATTTAATTTGATTTGATTTGTCGCCAATGATGCCAGCCCCTAGGATAACCCACACCCTCCGCGTGCTTTCCTCACTGGTTTGTATAACATTTTGATCTTCTTCATATAATTCAATATGTCCTTGGGCATTCGGTCGTGTCAGGCGACTACTGATTGGTCCCCAAAAATCCGCGCAAACCCCCAATTCTTCCTGGCCAATCACCTCAACCGTATTTGCATTGCTCAAGTCGTCAAGAGGAGTGATTGAATAACTGACCAGCGGTTCTCGTCGAATTTGAGTGCAACATAATGATCTAGGTGACCAAATTTAAAATTAAGTTGAGGAGTATAAATATGGGCGCTGGAGTGCTGTGTGTACTTTAGTTGCAGTTTCTTTCCTCTCATTTCTATATTACATCTGGACTGCGAGTGGGCCGCTGAACCGGGTTGCCATATATGGAACGCCGCGTTTACAACAATCTCCCCTCCGAGTCGGCTCCGGGGTTTTGGTTGGACATTGTTTTTGGGTGTTTAGTTGGAGATTGAATTGAAGGAAAGGGAGAGGAAAAGGAGTCCCATAATCGAGGAAAGGAGAGTGCGGAGGGTTGCTTTGATTCATTTTCATTTTTCATTTCCTTTCCACTTAATTCGCCGGTGTTTGTTTGTTTTGTTTTGAATGGTCCAACGAAGGATGGCATTTAAGCCATGTCTGTGCTCGGAGTTGGCCGATCCTACTTGTCTTATTTGTCTTTATCGACTATGTTTACTTTTCTTCGCTGTGCTCACCCAGATCGGACTTCACAACACCAATGAGCTCCTGGGTCGCTTAGCATGATGGTAAATAGGGGTGGCCTCACCCGCAGGACAAGATGGTGACGTGTAAAATAAATCATTGTCGATGTATCTCTCTTTAATTTCAATGGAAAACCTTCTCGGTCTGTGATAGCCGCATATTATCACTGGTTCGGACCAAGTAAACCCCTTACTGTGCTTCTGAACCTGAACTCTGACTTCATAGATGTACATCAATGGTAGCTCACCGCAACAGATACGAGGTCATACCAGCTACGTCATGCTCGGACACGGGAGTCAGACTTCATAATCTATGTGAGAGTCCCCAATTGGACACTTTTCCACTAGGGACTTGCTTTGAGCTTGCTTCGCTGCTAGCGATTCAAGTGGTCAAGGATGTTACTTCGCCATTGTACCGGTTTCTGGTACTCATCTCTTGTGGTATCTGATGAACTTTTTTGTTTCCAGTTAATTCAATGTCAATTTTCTCATGCTAACGAGGGTCGCCCCCAATCCGAGTTGAACATTTTCAGCCAGGACGTAACTATTTGATCTATGCACATCTCCACTTGCAAGGCACCCACTGCAGATCCCCCCAAAGAGGCATTTCATTCTATCTGTTGCCAACGATCCTAGCCCCAAGGTCGATCCGCGTGCTCCTTCCCATCTTTTCCCACCCGTTCGTGTAACATTTTATTTTTCGTTTATCTCTATACAGTTCATTTACTATTGCCATATATGTCTACTATGGCCTCTGGGCAATACTCAGCTAGTATGTGTTTAGGTCGCGTCAGGCGACTGCTAGTCGATCCCCCAAATCCTGCGCAGGACCCCAATTCTTGGCTAATCAAGGTGCATACATATCTACATTATTGAAATCTTCAAGAGGGGTGGGATGCGCGAGTCCGTCCTTGTGCTCTTTCGGCATACCCAGAATGAAACGGACGAAGAACTTGATATACGCTAGTTATCACAACTGGTGAAATTATACCATTTCTAGTTGAATCGAGTTATATATCCTATATATCGAAGCTAGCAGCTTGCCGTGCCTAATTGATGCGCGAATGCCACTGCAGGACATTTGCGTGCGTTTGCTATCCCTTCGTCGGCTTTGCATGCTCCTCCGCATTACCCGAACAGTCAAACCTCGATTTAACACTACACAGGGAAGTAGATAATGCTATTCTCTTCAGCGCGATATAATGGCAAGTTGCCAATTCATAAACAGAAAGTTACGAGCAAGTCGTGTGGTTGAGTGCTTGATGGATTCGATGGGGATTGATGGACACTATGGGCAATTGCGTTCTGGTTATGGCTTGCGTTACGGCGAAGAACGAAGGGAAAGCTGAACGAGCGAGGCCCAAGATTGGCATGCGGGCCCTAGCATCTGACGGCCGTCATGCAACGCTTTCCGCCACTTCAGTGAAGGGGTGCTATTTATTTGAAGTGAACTGGGTTTTTGCCTGTTCACTTTTTTCCCGCCTATTTCGTTTTTCGCTGCGATTCAATAGGCTTGCACTGAGGAGGCAAGTAGATCAAAAAGATGTTGCGGCGTTCGACCCGCGGACAGTGCTTCCTCCGAGGTCTTTGATGATCTCTACCCCATCTGGCCACCTCAAGTACACTGACGAAGTAGCTATTGCTCAGAGTTGTACGCCGTAGTTTCTCGATTTTAGTTGCTGCGTCGTGGATTTCCTTTCTTGCATGGTTGAGGTCCATCCGCGCTCAGTGCCTTCTTTCAATATAATCGGGCATTGCGACCCAGAGGTGCATCTAGTAGAAAAGCCAGGGATATCCCCATCTCCATCCCTTCATCAACACAACCCCACCACTTTCTCCAGCGCGCACCATCTTGGAGAGGTCCCAGGACATCTACATCGCAACACTCATAACACGCTGTGTGTATCAACGCCCTAGACCCTCTCCTCCAAGCAGTGCAATTTCATTGACCTCGTCTACATCATGCCACGTTCCAGGATCCATATCGTTGACCTGAGCAGTTCAGCTCCAACCCCAGTCTACGCATGTCAGAAGAACTTGGTCATCATTCTCAAAACTTTTCAGCTTTAGAAGGAGTTCTGACGGAGCACGAGGTCGGTACTATTGTTCCATGGGCTGGCCATCCAGTTGACTGACAGCCCACATACATCAGGAATTACCAGTGGATATCGTCACCACTCGAGGCGCTGAAAGCACCGATTTGACAGGACGTGGCAGTGGCCATCAGGCTCTAGCAGTGAGCGAAACCTCCACACCCGCGCTTCCTGGCCACAGCTGATCGTGTATTGCAATCGCGCATGTAAGAGTGACCCTGTGCCCGAAGTTGAACACCAGCTAGACCCGTCTGGCTCGACCTTGAATTCTCATCCAGGTCAGTGATTGCGATGACTTGTTGATTACCAATGCTCAACTCCAGGATCAGTGGGCAACGCGACGGATAGCGGCTCTTTCCCTGCATTCCCTGCCGAACAGTTCTCATCAGCGACTCATAATGTGTGGCTTGACGAAGACGAGTCTCTCCCCGATCAGCCTACCGTTGTGGAACGCCCTTCGGTCGGCTCTCGCCTTTAAGCAGCTTAACCACTATGTTATTAAGATGAAAAACATTAAATTTGTTTAAGATAAGGATGGTTCTAGACACTGGGAAGGTCTCACCTGAGCGTTGGAAGGAGATTGGGGAGAAAGATTTGGTTGGAGGCTCTCGGTGACTAAACTTTCCTCCGGCAACCATGGTCGGACTGGGAACATACGTCAAGAAGCTTATACGATTCGCCAGTTTATTCCAATCGTCTATTCCGCCCACAGAGGGAGGGGGGGGGGACAACCGCGATGGGCGAGCTGCCGTTCTTAAGTGCTGCGCAACAAGGAACACTCTGGGTGAAAATCCCTAGTAAACAAACCACAGGCCCAGACCTGTATTCTCCGCTAGAACCCCTACTGATCCACATAGGTGACATGTGTGTGTCACGACAGAAGTAGAGCAAATGAGGGATGAATGGGTCTTTGGTGAAATTAGTACCGGTTTCCAAAAGATGCTACGGAATTCGGTGGTAATGGTAAGTGGCACGTTTCCCTCGACCTCCGCGGACGAGTGGGACCGCGTTGAGATCGCTTTCGAGCGCTAGAAATCGGCGGACATCTGTGCATAGCCGGCGGGACGTTGGGATCATCCAAGAAAAGAACGTGGAAGGGACAGAATGAGACGACGTGGCTTAACCAATATAGCAACGAAGCATTGTGATTTTCAGAGGGCTTACCAAACGAGGGGGGTTTACTCCAATGTGCCAATCAGGACAGGAAACAATGAGGCTAAGCAAATACATTAAAGGCTGCCGTGCAGTCAAGAGGATGTCGCCAGATCGGGAGCCTGGGAAGTTAAATTCCCGAGGGACGCTAGTTTTCATTTTTGTTCTTCTGCACCTAGCGTCCTGGAGCTCCACTTGGACCGTCTCAGGAATAAATGGGCTTTTAGGTGGAGGTTAAGATCTAGGCAAATTGGCCAGCAGCCCCAAATTTCGCACTTGTAAAACTCGGAGGGGAGCCAAATCGCCACAAATGCAGAAAAGCTTCGGGTGCTAAGCTAATATAAAATTAGAAGAAAAACATTTCAGTCCCAAGATCGACGTAAGAATGATTGTGAACCTCGAATCCATGCATACATGAACGACGTCAGGCCGCCGAATGCACATGTCATTTGATGTTGACCAGTGATTCTCACTTTGAACCCTCATTACCCAAATGTTGCTTCACAATGGACTTGATGGCGGACATTGGTAGTTTCAAGTATTCTGCGGGGCATTGTGATTGCGGGCCAGGCCGGAATTTGTGGTGGTGGGTCTAGAACCCGGTCATGATTGTGCACGCGCGGAGCACAGAAATCTGGGGCAAACTAGAGGCAAGTACTCTCGGCTAGCGGGAGGGGGGAAAGAAACCCTGAACCAGGCAAGATGGATTATCCTGCCCTGCGAACTAGACTATATGTGGCAGAGACTAGCTCGGATTCGTGTGGCTCGGTGGAATGTGCACTCTACCGTTGAACCCCATAGCTCTTAGTAGTCGATAGAATATAGCATTTCATTTCACAGCAGCCATCTGCGTGAAAGGATGTTGAATCTTTCCTAAGCAAGGGTGTGCTAGAAGCAGAGAAATGGGGTGAGAAAACGGCAACAATGTGGGCTCGGCTGGGAACCGAGTTGGGGCCGAACCGGACTAGGCTGGTGTAGTATAGATCCCGTTAAAGAGGGGCTGGTCACCTGCCTACGTATAGATACCCTTTGAAAAAGTTAAAAAGTAAAGAAAGTTGTACATATATGTTAAAGTTTCGCTGATACCCAAACACCTGCCTAGACTCTACGCACATATTAAATAATGAATGCATCCGAAGTATAGCAAATCTGAAGGTAAAGGGACTTTAATTACAATGGTTCGCATTCGACGCTGACGCAGGACAAATTGAGCAACATGGCCCATCCCATAAGGCAATGCTGCTTCATCCGCAAAGTGGTGAATGGTGTATTTTCACGTTTTGTCTCAGAACTTGCCTGCTAGAGAGGCGAATCACTGCCAGAGAGAATACGCAGACGCGGGAGGAGAGCGAAGAGTTCTGCACTGGAAAAACAAACAACAACACGAATGGGGATAAAATTCGGCCAACTCCGCTACAAACTGAGATCTTCGTAAAACAAATATGTAAATAAACCAAGCAACCAAGCGAACATAGGAAATGAAAAGAGAAGAAGAAAGGTCCCTCTTTTTCTTTTCCTACTACGGGGAAGGAATCCAAAAACGAACGAACCCCAAGATCTTCGCCGCGTGACGGATAAAACCCGAATGCCAAATATGACCAAATGCCGAGCTATGCGCAAAGGAAAACAAAGGAAAACGGCTACTGATGAATGGAATATGGGAATATGTGCACAATACCAGGATGCAATAGATTCCGTCACGTTAGTGTACGCTAGTTGCCGGAGTCCAGGTTCGTAATTAAATCATGTCCATATTCCAACGCGATCCGCGTTCTACGCTGTTCCTTGGAGGGGAAAGGATATCGGGTCAGGATATACGCGATCAAAATGGTATACTCCTTCGTAGTAATTTTCTTGGCGTCAAACTGACCGTTGTTCCATGAATGCTTTAATCATGCGTTGGGTGTGAAGTCATCGCGGCACAGTCGATTGCAAATGTGGTGAAAAGCTCGTTGGGACCTTTAGGTCTCGATAAGATGCTTGTCGACAATATTGGAGTGAGTACTTTTTGATTTTTCGGTGGCTGTCTTTTTGTAAACAATGGTTGAACGTAACCGTTAGTGACACTTCTTCCTTGTTACTCCATAGGATGTAACGATCTCAAATGACGGTGCGACCATACTGGGCTTATTGGAGGTCGAACACCCCGCTGGACGCATCTTCGTCGACTTGGCTCAGAAGCAAGACAAGGAAGTAGGAGATGGGACGACATCCGTTGTGATCGTCGCCGCTGAGCTGCTGAGAAGGGCAAATGAATTAGTAAAGTCGAAGATACATCCTACGACGATCATTACGGGGTATAGGTTGGCTTGCAGGGAGGCGTGCAAGTTTATGGTGGATCAGTTGAGCGTTAAGGTTGATGCTCTTGGGAGGGAGGCCATTATCAATGTGGCGAAGACGTCGATGTCGAGTAAGATCATTGGGAGGTGAGTTTTGACCCGAATCGTCGCTATCCCCACCTATCTCTGTTTTCCGCTCATTGTTCTCCGATCGTTTTTCCTCGGACGCGCCCTTGCGTTCATTGGCCACACTCTTACGTTCCGCGGTTCCCCCTGTTCTCCTCTAGTGACGACGACTTATTCGCCCCTATGGCTGTTGACGCCATGATGGCCGTTAAGACGATCAACCCCCGTGGGGATATCAAGTATCCTGTCAAAGCCGTCAACGTTCTCAAAGCACACGGGAAAAGTGCACGTGAATCCACGTTTATAAATGGGTACGCTCTAAATTGTACGGTGGCTAGTCAAGGTATGTCCGTGTGCTTGTGTTTTGTTGCTCTTCCCTTGCATTGGGCATTGGAGGTGAAGCTCTTTGGTAACTTGGATTTAATTAGCGATGAAAACGCGGATAACGAGTGCTAAGATTGCATGCTTGGACATCAACCTCCAGAAGCAGCGAATGAATCTGGGGGTCAACATTGTCGTGACAGATCCAAACCAACTCGAGGCCATACGTAGAAGGTATGTTACACAAATGCCAATCGAATATGCCGCAAATCTCATGGCTTTCTATCTGCCCGCTAATTGCCTCCGATCTTCATCTGCCTCATGCACACATCCATGCCCCTCGCCGCACAAGGGAATCGGAGATCGTCTTGGAACGCGTTCGTAAAATTCTGGGGGCAGGAGCGAACGTCGTCCTGACCACGAAGGGCATTGATGACCTTTGCCTGAAAGAATTCGTCGAAGCAGGTGCGATGGCTGTCCGTCGATGTAAAAAAGACGATCTGCGTCGAATTGCGAAAGCGACGGGAGCGACTCTGGTCTCGAGTTTAGCTAACCTCGAAGGAGAGGAGACGTTTGAGGCCTCGTCACTTGGACACGCGGATGAAGTAGCTCAAATCCGGGTGTCGGATGACGAGTTGATTGTGATCAAGGGGACGAAAGTTGTGAATTCTTCGTCCATTATTTTGAGGGGGGCGAATGATTATATGTTGGATGAGATGGAGAGGGCGTTGCATGATTCATTGTCGATCATCAAGAGGACGTTGGAGAGTGGGACGGTCGTTCCGGGTGGTGGGGCTGTTGAGTCTGCGTTGAGTATTTATTTGGAGAATTTTGCGACGACGCTGGTATGTGAGGTTTTTCTATTCTTTTTTGTTTTGTGCCTTTCCTTTCGTCCTCTTGGTGCTGGACTCTACAGCCTTCTATTCACTATGTAAATTTTATCTCTTGGTTTTTCTTTGGCCTTTCCTCAGATCCCAGCGATAGCTGACATAACTTAACCCTTTCTCTCTCATCGCTCTCTCCCTTTTTCACACGACGGAAACAATACCTGGATCGGCTCGGACACCAATTACTCTATGCAGGGTTCAAGGGAACAACTAGCCATTGCCGAATTCGCTAATTCTCTCCTCGTTATCCCCAAGATCCTCGCGGTAAATGCAGCAAAGGACTCAATCGAGCTTGTTGCCAAACTTCGTTCATATCATAATGCCGCCCAGAACGCCTCGGCGGGTGATCCCAAGAAGGTCTTGCTCCGGTATGGATTAGATTTGTTGAATGGGGAGGTAAGGGACAATGTGAAGGCGGGTGTGTTAGAGCCTACGATGAGTAAGGTGAAGAGTTTGAAGTCGGCGTTTGAGGCTGCTGTTTCTCTTCTGAGGATTGACGATGCTATTCAGTGTGCGCCTGGTGAGTTGTTCTTTCTTATTGATTTTTTTCCTTATTGCCCGCGGAGGTCGGAGCGCCTCCCCGCTGGGGTTACAGGGTTCTTTCACCTTGAACGACTTTATATTGACCTGGCCTTTTGCGTGCTCTCTGTTCCTAGAGCAAAAAGGGGGTCCTGACCCTCATGCACACTGATAATGTGGCGTCTCGGGTAGGATGGGAAGCAGCCGCTGACCCGGTGCGGTTGTGGTGGACGTTGTGATATTTTCCCCTTTGTTCTTATTTGTAGTGCCGAATGGAGAATAGGCCTTTCGCCGTGATCATCAGACTGTCGCTAGCCCCCTGTGGTCATGCACGGGGAAGTGATGTTTTCTTTTCAGAACACTATCAGATATATTACAAGTCCACCAGCCCTGCGATCTCCTCTCTTTTTCATTTGTCCCTGGTAATAATTCCGAGAGTGTTTCATTAGTTTAATGACCGTTGGAAGCCAGAGGGATTTGTGGCGCCACCGTCGAGGCCCTGAACAGTGAAAACCAACCCGGTGCCGGATGAGTAGAATTTGGGATCCTCCTGTATACTGGGCAAGCGCAGTCCTGATAGTTAAACGGTGCCCATATGTGACGGAGCAATGCATTTTTCCACCACTCTTTTCGAGCTAATCGCATTGGGGTTGGTGCCGTTGTCATCAGCCATTGCTGAGGCAACTTTTTTGGTCATTCATGCTTGAAGCTGAGATGCTCTACCAGCTTGGCTTCGAAGTCCCAGACGTCAATGAAGGGGCAGCGCATCTCCTCACGGAATGAACAGGTACACGGAACAACTGTCACTGAAATCGCTCGGCCCTATGGACCGTCAGGAGTTAGACTCAGCGAGTCGTGGAGGATCGATGCGATATTGCAATGAAGGAAAAAACGAGTAGGTTCCGTGAAGCTGACGTTCTGAGCACTGAAACGTTGAATTACTCGGTTGTCGTATGAGGTTTGTTCTATTCAACCTGCTCGTGCGAATGCTGTACAGCCACTTCCACTCTTGACTGGGGAACAACAATAACTCATTAATTCTACGTCGGACTACCCGGTGCTGACCTCTACATGGCCCCGGGTCCATTGACGGTCTACTCTCTGCCAACACTGCAACCTTCCATTCAAGATCCCAATGTCCCTCTCGCGAGGGTCCCGTTCCTCGCATTCCAGCTTTCGCGAATAAACGATATTCTCCACCTCTCTCTCGAACGTGGCGATTATCATCGCGCCAGGCGCGCATGGAGTATCCTCTCACGTTGCGGAATGTTTGATTGGAGGGCTATGTGGAAACTGGGACTCGCCACTCTCGGTAATGTTCATCAAATGAACTCCAAGTCCAAGGAGAGCAAGGAGAGAATTGAATATCTCAGGGTTTGCTTATTGAGAGGCTATAAGACGGACGTACGTTCAGGCTTGTGCTCGATAGTTAGTTCGGGTTGATAAGCGTTGGGATGAATTTAGAAAGAAGAGATGCTCTCGGAGCTTGTACTCACTTTAATCAAATTTTCGAGATACGAAGAAGCCTATAAGGAGTTAGAATTGTACGCCCCCTAAAGCGATTCAAGCAAATGGCTGGAGCGCTAAACTCCCGTCTTTCTATTCGTCCTTGGCTCCCCCTAATCGCCTACGTGGCGTGGTATATCGTGCTCTGACCAGTCATCTACTGTCAATGCCCTTCGGCGACAATGTGGCATTGAACACATACGCTGGAATGCTTGCTCTCCAGCTTGCACTCTCTTCTCCGTCTAACGAGGATCCATCCGGTGAGAATGTAGCATTTGCTCCCCGACGGTGGAATCTTGCTCAATATGCTATTCTAAAATCTCTTTGCGATGCAGTCGCGCTTGAGTCTGCAAAATTATATGAGTCGAAAAATTACTTCGAGCATGTGAAAAGGCTGAAGCCAGACGACTCGAATGCCCAGACTTTTCTCTCTGTAGTATGTCCAGCAACATTATATGACAAATGAGCGCCCCGCTAATGTCTGTGCTCCGGCGACTTGCGTTTTTCTTCTGTACCTCATCGTCAAGATCGAACATTACAATGCGCAGGGGGTGTTGACCCCCTTCAGCACCGTCAAAAACCTTCTGGGTCAGGAGGACAGTGAAGATGGAGATGAAGAGGATGGGAATGACCAAGCCGAGTCATCGGACGACGGAGAGGATGAGCTATTGGAGCAATTGGTGTGTGCAGTGGATGGTTATCAAGTCATTGTTACTAATATTTTTCTTTCTTGACGGGGCCACATCGGTCAGAGATCCCTTTATCGGCCTGTCGCTGTTTTGGATCGTCGCTGGTTCAAATTTAGCAAACCCTTCTCCGCTCCTCTGGGCTCCCTGAATCTTTGATCCCCCATTTGTTGGTGTCTCTCTCTCGCCCCCGTCACTGGAACAATGCGTTCTGAAGGGCCTGCCCCGATGCACGCGGAACAAAACACTTGTTTTCATTCGCATTTGTTGGACCGCTTGTAACCAGTAATACAGACTTTGTTACGCTCGCCGCATTGGACCGCAGCATTCAAAATGAACTGTGTAAAGAGTCTGGGACACACTTACTATAAAGGGGTCATTCTCAGTGATCGTTCCGGTCACTCCGGGCAACCTGCGATAGGGCGCTGCCACCGCGGTGTGGTTATGTAACTTTTTGCAGTTCCGAGTTTACACAAATGTTCCCTTCTAGCGAGTGTTCCAGAAAAGGCACCTTCTCTTCTGGTTGGCTAGTTTAATCGTACCATCTACGCGCTTCAAGCTCTAATGATGTCGACCGCGCGGGTTTGATTGGAATCCCCTTAGCTTTGCACCATCCGCACAGATGCTTCACTTCTCTTTCGACCATGCGCGCTTCAACGTTTTCATTGCTGTTTCCACCTCACTTGGGCCCCATGGGGATTGTGCTTATTCGGCTTGTCGGCAGTCTTGATCTTGTTATGCATCACAAACCTCCGCAACGCATTATTCCGTTACATCGCCATTGGCAGCAAGAGGACTACAGATTTGGCAGTCTCTACTTTATTGCCTCAGGTGAAATTCCTGAACTCGACTCAGAACTTCCCCATGGCTCCTTTAGGAAGGGTTATAGGCGAACACGCGTGGCATTAATGACGCCTCCTTGAATAGACATTTGATCGTTGTCATTCATACCTAGCTTGAAGTCAGATTGATTCCTCCGCAGCCGCATTGATTCGACGTGGAAGCACTCTCTTCTTGCCTTACGAGGTCAATTCCAGTAGGTTCATGCATAGATCCATATAGGAAGTGTCAGAGGGCTACTGCAAGAGAGCATGAACCCACAGAGACCACTCCTGCTGGTCGGCCTTTGGCGCCAGTACTTGCCGTTGACACGTCAGGGCAGGGTTGGATTGAGCGCATGATGAGGTTTCGGGCTTTGTTGTCTTTTGGGGCTGGCCCCGTTCTTGCCTCCGGCAAGGCGCCACATGGTGGACAGGGGCCGAACCGCCGAATGACTATTCGTACAGGTTCGCCGTGAAGCCCTTTGGATGCTCAAATTTCTGGTTGATGCCATCTTTAGACTTTGTTCAGTCGACCCTTTTCCACCCTCCTGCATCCTTTCGCACATAGCGTAATGTACGTCTCCCTCATTCGTGTATCTTGAGAATTGATCGATAACGAACGGAAGCTCGATTCCAGCAGAGCATATTCATTTGCAGACCTAGGACAGACACATAGCTCGGCATCCGCGGGCAGAATGAGATGGGGAGTGCCGTGGTACGTAGAAGCCATGGATGCGTCTATCACTACAGAGGCTGTTTCAGAAAAAAAGCAGACCCTTTTCTTTATATTAAAACCTGTGCGTTTCCATCGCTACTCATCTCGATGGTCCGGAGGACTTCTATCTTGGACAATTGCCAAATGCCAAATCTAATTATCGAATCCTTTGAAACTAAAAAACCTTCTCCCAACCAATGTGTTGTACTAGTCTTTTTTGCTTCGATACGACCCGTGGAGGAATCTCCGCGCGGCCTTCCGCCAATTTTGGGCATGGTGGTATGGTTTCTCTCTAGTTTGTCCGCTGCTAGTGGGGGCGACTAGAAAGGCTATTGCTGGTCCGCGCAGCCCCTCACCTGAACCATTAATTGTTCCCTTCGTGTGAAAGGAGTCTCACAGCTAAGGCACACCACCCAGTGATCGAATTCAGTACCTCCTGAATTTCGGCAAGTGCGTGCTCAGAATCTTTACCTCGAGCGTACCCCTAATTGTTCTTGAATTCAACAACTCTGATAATCATCAGTCCCCAGATCGCTCGTATGTCCGAAGAACTTTCTAACCGCACGCAAAATCTCTGGTTTGGACAGACTCCTTACACAACATAACGCATGTATTGTTCCATGTAATTACCAGTGGCTGCTCAGCCAAATGACGGTCCACATGCGAATAGGCGTCTGGAAATGTTGGCGACACGTACCAGGGTTCCGAAATCGAAATTTGACTGGAGATGACCGCAGCTCTAGCGATGACGATCGGACTAGAGTGTAACTGTCCTCTTCCGTTACGGCCCCGCTGCTGAACGTCTGTTTCAACATAGAATTATATCCTCGTCTCCGCCGATGACCAGCGATAGCTAGGGAGCGGCGGATGAATGTAGAGTGAACGAGTTTCCGGTGCATCCCTGGATGACGAACGCTTCTAGATGGCCTATCTTTCTTATCACTGCAGTCGCTTCAGGATCGATACATGCAGGTGGCGTGCAACCCTACTCAGCGTCCTGACTTGGGGTATGACACGATAGGGTTGAGAATAGTCGTCCTAGAGCAATTCACCCCGTTGGGGGTTACTTTCGGTCAAATGCGAATGACGACTGCCTTTGTGCCGTACTCACGAGTTGCAAACCCTAAGGTTCACACCTAATCAAAATTGGATTACGGAATTGGCCGAATTCCTTTGCGCCATCGTTGAACTTCAACACCGGCAATTAGCCGAACTACGAACTAGCACTTCAGGGGAAACAGCTCGTTGCAAACTCGAAGAAATGAGCTCACGTATGCACGGGCCGACGTCCGTAATGAATGCAGATGTTGAGGGCGATCTCTTCCTCGGCTCCTCCCGCGATTCACTGTTTGCTGATGTCCTTCAAATGTTTGAAGCACGTCGCCTTTCTACGTCTCTCATCAGACCTAGAAGTCTCATTCAATTCTCTCGGGTAATTTTTTTGGAGTGAGTTTGGATGGTGGAGTTCTCATGGGATTGTGCGGGGGGTTCTCAACGTTCGGCATCCGCCACAATCCGGCGACCTCAACCTTTGTGGTGGCAAATCTCAGCACCAGTCGTCAACTATCATCGTGGAGGACCTTCGCTCAGTAATAGTCAATACATGCGGCATCGTCAACCGGTTCACGGTAGGCGGCGACCTTCCTTACCCCCTTGGACACCGTGGGCCTCAGGGTTATTATCGTTCACCTGATGATGGGTCGCCTTAAGGTGTTGGTTTCGTCTCTTTGTGACGACCGCCACACCACCCTGATCACCCTGGTTCTCAGCCCGACAGCAACACAACCTCCACTCGGAGCCCTCCTTTCCAACTGGAGACTTTCTACTTCTACTTTCGGCCGTAGCCGGCCTCTTCGCAGCCTCATCCACTCAAATTGCTCGTCGCGGAGAACCCTGTTTTTGACGTCGAGGGCTCGAGCTAGTTGTGGATCCGCCCAATTTCTTGGAGAACACTCCATGCATATGTCTGTCCTCATTTGTGCACTCCGCTATCGTGGCGCCACGAGGCATGCCGCTGGGTATGGATTGGACCGAATCACTCCAGTCTGACCGTTAACCCCGCCAAGACCTTCAACGAGTCTATTCCCCAAGTCGTCGACATCTTCTCTTGTCGTAGTAAGGTTATTTGGTAGGTTGTCAACTTCAATCTTCAACGTCAAGGCCGGGCCCCCATAGCTCAAAGATCTACAAGGATCCTCCACTTCCAAATCCCACGACCCCATCCTGAGGAATGGTTTTCCTAGTTCCATTCTTCGCCAACCTTGCATCCTCGATCTCATCACACTTCACCACCACTGGATTCCACCGTTCGGCATTCTTTCCGTCGCCATTTCCTCTACACATTCACCCCGTCCAGTCGTCGAGTCCCAGTCTCATCCGACCAAATGGCCGTCATGGGACGGCAGTGAAGGTCGCACATTTCCGATACTCGGTTCCTGCATATCCTTGGAAGAAACCATGCTGTCATCTGGCGGGGCGAGAAACCAACTGTTCAGGCGCCTAGACATTCGAACCCGCGGGAAGAGTCAAAGTGAGAGGTGTTGGGGACGACACCTGCTTGCGCTCGGCTCATCCTAGCTGTAATTCTACTATTACTATTAGTGATCAGGAGTCACCGCTAGTGTCAAACTCCCTTTCTCCAAACTTTTCAACGCCATCTCGGATCGAACGATCGCGAGACCACCCTGAAAAACTCAACGAAATTTACGACCTGCGACCGAGCCAAATACACTAGGTTTACGCGTGCGCGGGATAACCATGGAAGATGATGACAATGGTGAGGACCGAGACACATCGCTCAATAGCCCTACCTTTCCGTCTCTGACCGGCGAGGCCGAAGGGCCTGACCAGGCCCCTCGGCCCCCGCATTGCCAAGCGACAAGTCGAAAAAACCCGCGAACTCTAACTCCCCTTCAATGTTCGCCCCATCCCCAGCCGACGCCTCGAGAGAACCTCGCGGCACCATGGCTACCGTTTTCCTAATTTCGATGCCAACAAAGGAAACTTATCGAGAGAAGCCCCCTCCACCTGGCACGCCCATACCTTCCTGAGTGCATCTGCTAGCGGAAAGCCATCGTCTCCAGCGGGCGCCCCTGCTTCGAACTTCTATCTTCCCCGCCTCTTGTTCTATCAATATTAGCGTTACCATTGGGGCCGGGGCGGTAGTTTTTGGAAATTTTAAGGAGATAAGGATGGATTCAACCCTCGGCGTCGAGAACGTCGGAGATACATCACTAAGCCGTCGACAACTGTACCGATCTGGCCAACATCACGCACGAAGATGCCTTCATCACTACTCGCTTCCCATACCCTTCCACTAGCCTAACTTATACATGATCAGACATTTTTTTCCAAGTCCTCAATTGAGGCATAGCGTCGAACGGTGTCAGGGACCCGTGTGCACGATTCTCGTGGAGCTGCCCGTTTACTTCGCCTGTTCGCCGCTCCCAACAAGTCTTCTCTTTGGCTATTTCGCCTGCGAGCGCTTGGTGCCGGTACCACTCTCAGGTCCACCCAAAAGCCCCAGCTGGGTCTGGGGCCGACACCACCGACACAATCCGATCGCTGTTCTGCAGCAATTGCATTGGTGTTGCCCAAAAGAGGGGAGGTCAGCCGCCGTTCTCAGTGTGACCCAAAAGATACGAGCATCTGCATTCTCACATGCTCAGGTTCTTTGGCGTACACGGCATGCCGCTTTCCATAGCACACGCGAACGGCGAGGCTTCAATAAATGGGGCCCAGACTCTAGCTCTGCTGAGAGGGTCGTGCTAAGATGTCAGCCATGAGCCTTCACCTATCGAGTCCGGCCTCTACCTCAATTTGATCAAGTTAAGTCACCGGGAACGAAACATGATTCGAAATTGGATGATGTTACGTGATGCATTGTCACCACTATCGTCTAAACTTATCCCCCCTCATTGATGAGAGACTCTATGTCGCGTAAGCCTGCCAGTTCCAGGTCTGCGATCGATACTCCTCCCGAGCTTTCTACGTCGAAGCTGGGTAGTGGAATCCCTGGTAAGAACTTGGGGACCTCGGTTTACCTCTTTGAAGAACTATTATCTCAGCGACGTACCGGTTATGTGGATGAGGTATAATTGCTTTGCTAGCCAAGCCCGTGGAGAGACAGCTACCGTTGGTTCATCCTGACAATTGATGTGGACTTCTCTTCTGTCTGTCATTTCCTTCTCACCTATTCTTAGGACCGCCTGTCATTATCATCTCGTGTCTCATTACCTCTGACTTGGGTCTCTTGATTGATTCTGTTTCATACTCATTTCATTTTGCTCCTGAGTCTCCTAACTCCGTTGCTTTGTTTTTCCTTTAGTCCCTCGGTTCTCTTTAAGCTATAAGCTAGCTAGTGACCAAGGTTTGTGGCTTCGTTCTTTCATTCTTCGTTCACTCGCTGTGCACGCTGCAGGTAGTTATATACCCATACGGTTGTTGGATGAACAAACCATGACAACGCACCGGTACGCATTATCATGCTCATATCAGTTATTGATATGATACCCTTTGTCCATGTGTTGCATGTTTCACTCTTGCCCTACTCTACTATGTTCCACATGTAGCGCTCATTCGCATCTGATTCCTTTATCGCGTTTGTCTTATATCTTGTCACTACCCAAGCTATTTATACCGCTGCACGGTTACAATGTTCTAGAGAGATCTTCCCCGCTGAGTGCCACAGTGGTTTTCGTACTATGGTGAGTGCTGCTCACTACAGCTCTGCTCCCTCCACCTTGCCCAGCACGGAACCGATGGCGACCGAAGAGGAACGTGAGAAGCGAGGACGTGACACTGACAACTTGTGATGTGACAACCGCTGGGATCGAACGTTTGATCGATCTTCCTCACGGAAGGGCTTACATGGTGCCGAGGATGGTTGAGATCCAAGGAGGTATCAAGAATGCCTGTGCGACGCTGATTTTTTGGGAGACAAAACTGGTGTGAAAATCTTGTTGCTGTCTCTGAAACACAAGCTGAGAGACACCGATGTGTGGGTTTCTCGTCACTCTGTGCTCCATTCTGATAGACCATCGAAGGGTTTCCCGCATTCTTGGGGCTACTCGGGCTTGACCTCGCAGGTGTGGCCCTTCCGCTGAAATTGGGGCGTAGTCGCCCCGTTTCAGCGACCTGGGCTCGTAACCTGTTAGAAGTTCATGTGCTAGTGCCTTTAGAAAAGGGGGACGCTGTTTGGATGCGTCACTCTTTCTGACCTGATCCTCTCGTCTGAGGCTTAATGTGAACTCGAGGCAAGACAGTGCTCTGAAGTTGTTTGCCATCGCCGGACTCCCCTTTCCGTTGTCTCTGGAAGCGTTGAGCTTATTCTTGTACGCTTTCTGTGTTTATTTTGTTGGGGATTAGGCTCAAATTATGTATCTATTATTGCGTATGTCGAGGATATCTCCTGATTGTCGTGGAAGTATGTCCCAACTCCGGCTTGGCACGTTGGACCAAATTTTGACAGCTTAACGATGCACGAAGCTACATAACGCTATCCTTTGTGTTTTCTCGTAGTTTTCAATACCAGCACGGGAGCACTCCTGATACACTTCGATATGTCCATCCATCACGCATGTGAACCCTTGTGTGCTAAGTTGCCTTAGTTATACTACTTTCAGGGCGTCCGACCAAACATCATACATCGCCCAACAATCTGCTACTCCCAACAGTGAACCCTTCCACTACAGAACCTTTCCCATGTCCCGTGCCTCATATATGAGATTTACGGATGGACTCCGAGTCCTTTAGCTTTCTCCCAGATGAGGGGTGGCTTCATGCGCCCCGGGGTGTAACGGACTGTACGTTTGGCCGGAAAGTGCACGGTTACTGGGCCCATCATTCTCAACGATGCTCATGGAGTGAGCCTTGTAGCATATACCATCTCGGCCTCGGCGGCAGCACACTGGTGCTTGTGATCATTGATTCGGAAACGAGACTTGGTACAGGTCAATGGACCACTCGTTATCATGCAGGGGCCCTGTAGAGCCCACTGTGGATGAATGGAATGGGCAGATCCCGAAGTCACCTCATTGGGCGAGCTGTCGTCGGACAGGGGCAAACTGCAGCTTAAGCAATTCGGTGTATGTGTTCTGCACCGCGCTCCCGCTCAAGCAGACTTGGTAGATGGCTTTCGATCTTTTTTTTAGGTCATGAGCAACGCGGTCAACCCAATTTGATCATGTCGGGTTCTGACGATTCGTTGTAACGTTCATTAGCCTCTGTCTCCCTTATTCTGATCGGATATCATGGCATGTGAGGTGTACTGCGATGATCAATTCCAGGAGCACGAAATTTGGTAGCTTTTGGCTAAGGCCCCGCATGATGGCGGTTGGAGGATTGTACGTCAAAGAAAGAGTCACCAAATGATCCTTTCTAAACGATTGCATCCGTCCAAAGATCCGGTCATCAATTTATAACGGACCGGCTTAGATCCTAATCAAGTAAACCTCCTACTGCATTTCCAAATCCCTTGAGAACAGTTTTTTGCGATAGATAACAATTGATACAGAAGTTTGGCTTAAATCAGCAAGTAGACCATATTAACAAGTATGGAGTGTAGTTTAGGGATATTCTGTCGAATCCTCACTGTCACTGGCTGAAGCGGGGTGAGCCCATCGTCTCTTCTCAGCAAATATCCTTGTTGACGGACAGTCAATTCAACCCAAATTTAATTCGTATCTCTTCACCAGAAAGCTGACCTGTGTGATTCGCACACTCCATCATTTTTAACACTGCAGGTTGCGAGCCAGCGCGCTTACCACCGTTGTTGCTCTTCGACCAAATCCGACGCGACAGCCAGTCCTCAGAAGCAAGGTATCGGGTCCCCAATTTTCACGTATAGCGATCAGACGGGCATCTGCATTGCTTGGATTGTCAAAAAGATGGACATGCCACATTTGGGGTGCACTGATCGTTGTTGCTGATGGAACCACACTATTTCTCACCGGATAAATGTGGTTTATATTTATTGAAGCTAATACCTTGATACATACCATTTATTATAATGCGCCTGTCATAAAATCCCCATCGTCCGAAATGTTAATTCTTAGTTGAAACCTGATTGCCAGAGGGGAAGCGATCAGCCACGGCTATAGATAACACTATTCCCCGCAGTGGCATTGAAAGCGATACCAGAAACAGTAAGTCCACGAGCCGAACGCCCAGCAGTAGTATCGCTGCGCGTTCGGCATTTTGGTGCAGCCTCAGATCTAATGATTGAGCACCTGGGACAACTTGATAGTATTTGTAGTGTGGTGGATGCTTCCTTGCGCAGATTGGTGCCGCCTTTCTCCGCTGGATGTGACATGATTTAGTCATGAGGCAGGGCCGTGGATTGTTTGAATAAGTTAGTCCATCGTATCGTCATACATTGATCCGGAGACGCTCGGGTGTCCCCCCCGTATGACTATAACGAATGGAGCAATTTCCACAGTTCGAGGCCATCGACCACCGAGGGAAGCTTAATGGACAAAACCCGGGTGAATTTTCCCATGTTGGGACATAATAGGTTCAAGCTGATTGGAAAAAAGATCTGGAATTTGAGCGGCCAATGGGGAAAACGTGCATCAGGAAGTGCTGCGACGCTCAGATTTCATTTATGCTGGCGCTTCATCAGGAAGAGGGATCGGAGCAAAAGGGGAGAAGCCGCCCGGGGCGGCCTTGCTCAATGGCCATTGCGAACCCCTGAGAGTGCAGGAGTGCATGCAGTTTGCCGGTGGTTTCATCTTTGACTTGACGAAAACAAAGACGCCAGTGTTCGGACACGACAAAGAAGCATGGCTTAACTTCGCCGCCTTAGCGCCCATGTGACAATGGTGATGACCAGGCTACATATCATGATGACTGAGTATCGTCGGAGAGCGACTATGACAGAAGGAAGTATGGGACCGCAGATCGCCTGCCATCTTTCTTGCGGGATTCGCACCAGCGCTGGACTGGTATGCATGAGATACGTGGGTTGGGATCCGAGAAACTTCTGAGTCATATAATGAGATTAAGCTACATGAGCGGGAAAGCGGCTGAGAGGAGTAAAACATCCCAAAGATGGACATCGGAATTTCGGTAGAAGATCCGGGGCAAAAAATGCAGGACGGGAAAAAATTGAAGACCCAACACTATTTTAACGAAATGGCAGTCATAAGTTCCCGATAGAAGCAGACATACTACTGACCCCTGACTTTGACCGCCCTGGGCACCGGTGGTTCCACAAAAAAAGGATGTAGCTTCGAAGTCCAGTTTGGAAGATGCGCAGCCAGCTTCCATTTGTTGGCCTCATCAGAAATCGTTCTTGGTAAAACACGAAATCACACGCAGAGGGTTGGCATTTTGTTGAGTGGAGTTACGGCAGCCATATAAGCTGGCTCAGTCAGCAGAATCCTACTCCTCACAACCATCCTTGGGCTCTACCCTACGTCAGATTCCTCAGAGCGGACCAGTGCCTCAAATGTCGCAGACTGAAGAGCACCATCTCCTTCGGCAGTGCCCTGCTACATGCGAGGGTACAAGCGTTAGCCAACAAGAGGTATCCCATCGTTCGCTCGGGTTCGCGGTGTCACTTATTGCAAGATGCTACAGATTAACCACGGAGAAGGAAGCGTTGCTAGTAGTGCCAGGTTCAATGATCGAGAACGCGGCATGGGAGGTAGAGGGGAAATACTGACTCAAGTGGATCTTCGTTCACCCCCACCAATAGCGCTCACAGCGGGGCTAATCGTTGATATTCACAGAACAATCACACTGTGTATGCGAACCAAACGATCAACTCACTCAATAATCACAACGTCTCTGTGGCTGGCAATCTAGGTCGGGATTCGTCACGTCTGTACATCTCGATTCTACGTATTGACGCCATCCCACACGCAGCGCCTGGACCCAACAGTGTTTTTCTACCATATCCGGTTGATCAAATCACCTTAGGGGGCACTGCGGGTCGTGGTGCAAACATGCTTCAAGACGGACCCTTCTCGGCGCATCCTGTGGATCAAATCTGAGTTGCGTGTAGTGCGCTAGGTCACAACAAGCTAATGCCTCGAAGAAGCTGCTTGTGCCTCAGAATCAAGAGATGCGCCGCTGATATCCATAATAGTAAAGCATGAATCATTCGCGATCCAGAATGCCCAGTCGTTCAGGGATACTACAGCGTGACTGAGGCAGTGAACAAATCCTATGGCGAACCGCGAGTTTGTTGTATCGACCCTATTGAGGGTTCGTTCAAGGAAGTAACTGCTAAATGGGCAATGGCAAACGCCCACTAGAAAAGGCTGCTTGCGCAGCCTTGACGCCAACAAAGGGAGGTGGGAAAACCAGGAACAATTTAGAAGAGGGTGCGAAAAAAAAAAAGTTCCCACGAATTGGGAAGGAACCTCACGAGTAAGTAATCGAAGTCATAGAGTTGATAGCGGCAACGCATAAGCCAAAACACGTATCACACTCACAAGGAGGAACGGCTACTATGAGTAAGTGGCAGCAAATCAATCTCAGACTAAGAAACGGGAGCCGCTAAAGCCTTACCCACCATAAGGAGAAGCGGCCGCGGCAAGATGGAGAGCAAGGAACCCAGCGGCGGATCAATAAGAGGCGAACATGGCCGTCGGCCATAGGTTGGGTCTCGGCACCTTCTATGCAACCGCACTGAGCCGAAGCAGCATGAAACAAGAGTGTTAAACATCAACTAATAATAGCCAAATACGCACTATATCTAGAAACTTGTTTGCGCAGCGATCCATGAATAGATTACTCCAGCCTTTTTTTCAATACAATGCCTCATGCACTGTACTTACGACCATAGGTCTAGTCGCAGTGCACCAATCGTCCCAGTTAATGGGTTGGCCCTGAGGCTGAATAGGGCATCCATGTGGGAATGAATGACCGTTACATGTGAGAGACCCTTTGTTGGCGCAACGGTGTTGGATCCCAAAAGCGTAAATTACATAATGCACGAGCACAGTGAACGCCAAACAGAAACGCACCTGGATAATTCTTTCGGACGTTCGTCGATGCTGAGCACTTTGGTTTTATTGTGGAAGCAGGGAATTGCTTGAGATCTAGTGAAGATCGAGGATCGAACCTGATGGAGACGGAAAATGTGGAAGGTCTCTGGAGTTTTCAGATGGGCATCTGAATCGGCACTACGAGGAAAAGATGAGCCCTGTCCTAAGTCAATAACTAGCCCCAGGTTGAACGCGGTCGAGGGACCGACACCGGTGTTCCTGCAAACTCAGGGTCCCCAGGCCTTCTGTAACCAATGACGAATGATGGAACGGCATAAAGAGAACGAGTCCATCGCACAAACGTAGGCAGAGGAAGATAGATTGGGAGGTAGTTTTGAAAACTAGGCCACCTCCATTCCATTGAGACCTGGATTATGTAACAGGCGGCCTTAAATTAGGAAAGGGACAGGCCCGCTACGGAGGAGGATCATGATGTAATTGATTCAGGGGATCTCAGGGCACGGCGAAGTCAAGAGCAGCAGCGTCGGGATCCACGTCGGGGTTTGCGGGGGAAAGTGGAAAAAGAGTTTTCGGGGAATTAATAAAACTCTTGTGACATCATTCGGGGCCGAGTGAGGATAAAACTGGATGCTTGCAGATGGAAATGCTTGAGTTGAGTTGTTGTTTTTTTTTTAACAAAAAAGCATGTAAGCTTCCTAGCTTTAAGCATTTCGAGTTAAGTTGGTAGCAGCACGCTCCGATCCAGAAGGAGTCTGGGAAGAGCGGCGGCTTCTGTGATTGGATACTTAGAGCAAAGACTGTGAGCGGTGAATGGATTATTGTGCTACACCTTTTATTCACTGTGTGAGGTTTGACCCTTCTGGCTCTTTTCTCAGATCACGGCGATAACTTTTCTCCCTTATCGTTCCTTCCATTCTGTGCATCAACACGGATACTGAATACCCTATGTAGGGTTCAAAAGAACGTTATTCACTCGCACTCCTTGTCACTCCCAATATCCTCGCGGTAAATGCAACAAAGAATTCAACCGGTTCGTCGTCGAACTCCGTTCGTATCATAATGCCACGAGTGGAATGGCTCCCGGAAGGTCAGAAATGCAGCAACTGTGGCTAGCGGACGGATCGCGAAAAGCCGCGGGCAATTGTTCCATTAGTTTTGCGAAGGCCCAGAGGGATTCGTGGCGCAACCACCCCAGTGCTGGATAAGTAGGAGCTGGCTGTATACTAGGCAGGGCGGTCTATGGTCTATGTGACGAAGTAGAGAGTTTTTCCCACCAACTAGTCAACCCGGGGTCAGTCCAATTGTCATCGGCCGTTGCTGAGTCAGCCCACCCCCCATCGTTCGTGTCTGAAGCTGAGATTCTCTACCAGCTTAGCTTCGAAGACCCAAACGTCGATAAAGCGCAGGAAGAGCAAGCGCCGCAAGAAGCGTCCCTTCAGGGACAAGCGCACGGAACAACCGTCACTGAGATCGTTATGCCCACCGACCGTATCCACCCAGACTTTGATGGAAGATAGATGCAATATTATGGAGGGTGATGTGATGAAGACAAGGGAGTTTCGTGAAGCTGATCTTCTGGACACTGAAACAGTCACGACTCGGACGCTGACAGGCTTCTCAGCTACTCGATTATCGCATGGAGACCCACTGGCAGTACTCAGGGTTGCTTATGCTTATGGGGATTGTCTTGTTTGTTTTGCTTTTTATTCTTGATGTTCACCGTGCGGTGAGATTCAGATCGCTGCACAGCCATTCAATGGCCAAACAACGATAACAACTCACGCGAATAAACGATATCCTCGCCTCTCTCTCGAACGTGGCGATTCCCATCACACCAGGCGCGCATGGAATATCCTCTCATGTTGCGAAATGCGTCATTGGAGGGCTATGTGGAAACTGGGACCCGCCACTCTCGGCAACTTTCATCAAATGTACTCCGAGTCCGTTGAGAGCAGGGAGAGGATCGACTATCTCAAGGTCCGCCTATTGAGCGGGCTATAAGACAAACGTGCGTTCAGAATTTTGTTCGATAATCAGTTCGGGTTGATTATCGTTGGGACGTATTCAGAAAGAAGAGATGCTTCAGTCGAATTTCTGAGATAGGAAGAGTCTTGGGATTGTACGCCTTATAAGTAGTTCAAGCAATGGCATCTTCTACCCAGCCATCTGCTGCCGATGCTCTTCAGCGGCAATACAACATTGGATACACACGCTGGAATGCTTGCTCTCCAGCTTTCATTCTCTTCCCCGTCTAACGAAGGTCTATCCCATGAGAGCGTATTATTTGCTCCCTGACAGTGAAATCTCGCTCCACGCACTGTTCTGAATTCCTTTGCGATGCGAAGGCTGCAAAACTATGAGTCGAAAAATTACTTTGAGTAAGTGACAAAGCTGAAGCTAGATGACTCGAACGCCCTAAACGTTTCTCTCCTATATGACAAATGAACGCCCCGCTGATACCTGTACCACGGTGGCTTGCGTTTTTCTTCTGCATTCCACGCAGGAAGTGTTGACCCCCCTGCGGCATCGCCAATGGCCTTCTGGGCCAGGAGGATAGTGAAGATGGGGATAGTAGGGATGGAATTGACCAAGTCGAGTCATTGAACGACGAAGAGGATGAGCGGTTAGAACAATTGGTGTGTACAATGAATGGCTATCAAATCATTATCACCAAGCTTGACGGGGCCGCATCAATCCGAGATCCCTTTACCGACTTGTCGCTGGTTCCAATTTAGCAAACCCTTCTCGGCTACGCTGTGCTCCTTGATCCCTATTCTCCAGCGCACCTATAATTGGGACAATTCGTTCTGGAAGGCTTGTTTCGATGGACGTGGAATGAAGTTGTCTTCACATTGATATGTACGGAACAGCTTGCAACAAGTAATATGGATTCTGTTGCATTGGACAGCAATGCTCAAGAATCTGCAATCAAATATGTTTTTCTTTTTAAACCTAAAGAGTGTTATCATAAAAGGTTCGTTCCCATCATTTTGGGTACCGGGTGATCTGTGATACCACTCAGGGTTACGTTAACTTCTTCCAATTCGAATCTTCTCTTCCAGCAGGCGTTCCAGAAAAGGCGGTTGGTTGGACTATTCGGTTCAACGGTACCATCCCTCACTGCGCCTTCGGTTCCTTCCGAGCCTGATGGATTTCACCTCACTTGGAATATCCACCTCCAGGGTTTGACAGTGGGAATCTCCTTTGCTTCGTACTAGTCGCACAAATGCTTCGCTTCTTTCTCGCCTCATGGAAACCTATTGCTATATCCGCTCTACTCAGCCTCGTGGGGTTTGCCCTTATTCGGTTAGTCGGCAGTGCGCTAAAAATATTAGGACCCTCAATCTTCTCGTGAGTTATTGCAGGTCTCAACATTTCTAGGATCCATTATTCTCTTTCCTTGCCGTTTATAAGCGGACCACGCATTTGGCGCTCTCTGCCTGATTGCGTCAGGTGGAGATCCTAGGCTCGATTTAGAACTTTCACAACGGCACCTTTGGAACGGTGATAGACGACTCGCACAGGCGGTGTTGTGCCTTCTCGAACAGATATTCCTTCCGTGTGATCATCCAACATATATTTCTTATTCATGCAGGCTTGTTGCTAATGCACCGCCGCGCGCCGCAAGGATTTGCCATACATGGCTATGCTAGGGTACACGTATAAAGTAGAATTTAAGTAACATTCACATGCACATATCAACATCCAGACAATGGATTGAACGGCTTATGGGCAGTGTCAGAAGCTACCACAAGAGGAGGCATAGATCGACAGAAGCCACTCCTGGTATTCGATGGGCATTTTGACGTCCGTCAGTGCTCACCGTCGACGCGACATGTTCATGGGTTGGGGCTTTCGCTAGAGCAGCGATGGATGAAGTGCGTGATGTCAGTTCGGGCTTTGTTGTCTTCTCCATCCTTCGGCGGCCCCTCATAGTCGTATCACGCTTGAGGCTGAGACGGACTATTCCTCGTCTCCATAGCCTCGTAGATTCTCAAAACATCGATACCATCTTCAGGCTTTACTCGACCGGCCCCTTTCCATCGTCCTATAATAATCCGTTCGTACGAAATATTAATGCGGATGCCTTTGTTCTTGTATTTGGGGAACTATTGTAGATTACGTATTGATTGATGGCGAGCAGAAGCTCGATTCTAACAAAGCATTCTTATTTGAAGACCCTGGATAGACACATGGCCAAGCGTTGGGGAAGTAGGTCGAAATGGGGCGCTACGGTAGAAGCAAGCATAAATCCGTCACTAACAAGGCTGCTTCATGCTAGAAAAGCAGACCCTTTCCTCTATATTAAAGCCCGCGCGGGCGTACGCGTTCCCATCGCTACGCCATACGATAGTCGGGAAGACTTCTACCCAGGACAATTACAAAACGCCATTTCCGAGTTTTCGATATTTAAACTGGTGAAACAACTGTTTCTTCTTTTTCACCTCAAGAAGGCGGGAATCCGTGACCCACAGAATAAATTGCGCATGCGCAGCCTTCCCTCCTTCCGTCTTGGGCATAGCGGCAAAGCCTGCTTTCCAGTTTGTCAGGCCGCTCCACTGGAGAAATATCGACGATACAGCCAGAAAAGTCAAAAAGGACAAGTCTCATTGCTCACTTCAACCCCCCACTGGTCCGCGCAGCTCCTCCCTCGTCCTCGTCCACACCAACTGTAGTCTTGGTGTGGAAAAGTCCCGCAACTAACGCACACCAGCAGCAATTAAGTTCACGCCCCTTACGCGTAGCGTGCCCCTTGAAGTTCATCACATCCTGCCGGCGAACTCGGCGCTCGTCCCGTCCATAGTCCCCAACGTTTCCGTCGCTAGATTCCTCGTATGTCAGAAGGCCGTTCTAACCACACGCAAAATCTCTCCAGTCCGGACGGGCTCCTTACGCAACATAATGCACGTATTGTTCCATGCAATTTCCAGTGGCTACTCAGCTAAATTACGACTCACATTGAAACAGGGACCTCCTGAGGATGCTGACCACACGAATCAGGACCCCGAGAGCGGAAATTTGACTAGAGACGACAGCGACTCTGGGGATAATGGTCGGGCTGGAGTGAGTGCAACTATCCTCTCCCGACTGCTGATCAGCTGACTCGATCTAGGATTACGTCCTCGTTTCCGCTGACAGCCACCCAAATTATGTTGGTGTGGACGTATCGACTAATTCTCACGAAAGTCAGTTAGCGGTCGCCTTACGCTACTTCATATAGTTGCTCAATATTAGCAGGATATCCCCACGTAGCGGCCAACAACGTGTTCGCACCATACCCGGTCGAACAAATCTCGTCCCCGATGGCCAGAGAGCGGTTCGATGAACATGGAGTGAACGAGTTTCCGGCGCATCCTGTGGACCAAGTCCCTATCGAGGATATGCGACGCTTCTAGATCACCTATCTTTCTCATCACTGCAGTCAATATTAGTTTTACCGAGCTCGTCTTCTAGACAGCGCCGGCTCCAGACGCTTGGGGGATCGATGCGTGGGGGTGGCGTGCAACCCCGCTGAGCGTCCTGACTTGAGCTGTGGCATGATGGAGTTGAGAATAGTCGCACTAGAACAGCTCTCTCCATTGTGGGTTACTTTTGGTCATACGTGAATCACGACTGCCCTATAAAGATGCTCACGAGCTGCAGAACCCCAACGTTCACACACAATCAAATTTGAATAGAGATAATTAAATAGAGATAACGGAGTTGGCCGAAATCATTTCACACCGCAATTTACCGTCAAAGATTGGTCCTTAGAGATGAGCTCACGTATGGCAATGCATGGGTCGGCGCCCATAATGAACTCATGGGGTAATTTCTTCCTCGGTTCCTCTGATATAATGTTACGAAGTCATAGAAGCTGTGGCGGATTGTCGCTCAATAAGTTATTGGATTCTGAAGTTCTTTCACGCGATCTAGCCCTTTCGTTCTTACTCAGCAGGAGTTGCGCTGCATCGTTCCTCCTTACATCCTGTCGAGCTCGTAAGGGATGTCATCATACTCCTATCACCCGTCTGCTGCATTGTACAGATGCTGTGGCGCGTTCTCGGCGTTTGGCATCCATCCAATCCAAGTCGTGCCACTTGAAACTCGCCTTCACCTTCTTGAAAAACTGAGTTCCTTCTACCCCTTTTCTAACAGTTCCAGTTCGAGTACGCTAGTGAGTGAGGGAACTTGGTTGGTTGTCGCCTGTGCATCATCGTGGAAGGTCTTCGCCTGGTGAAAATAGTCAGTACCCGCATTGTCAACCAGTTCGCGATGGGTGGTGACCTTCCTTACCCCTTTATCCCCGTGGACACCGTGTGCCTCCACCTCTGCCAGACCAATATCGTTCACTTCATGGTGGGTCCCTTTAAAGTGTTGTGTCTCCGTGATGACCGTCATCACTACCCTACTCAACCAGTTGGCCTTTCTGCGCACACTCATCCACGCATGTCCAGTTTTCAGGTTCTTGCTTTCACGAGTATTTCCTCTATGTTAACTTCACTGCTTTGACTGGTAGATCATTTTATTTTCTCCTTTCTTCTCGCGTCCACTGTACACTTCGGCTTCCGTGCCGATTAGCCCTCGTGCCCGCTGAGCACTTCGGCTTCCGAGCCCTCTTTTTCCTCGTGGTGTGCATACTTACTTTCTCACTTCAACCTTCTATTTGTCGTGTGCCCAATAACTTCTTTTCCGCTGATCTCGGTCCTTTCTTGCCCACTCATCCCCAGTTCCTTCTGGGCTCGTAACTATTCACTCTTGCTAAGGCTAAGGTGTAATGGCCTTGGGATCCGTCCTGCCCTTTGATTGTTTCTCTTGTTCCTGAAATTCGTAGTTTGTCTCTCTTCCCTTTTGCGTCTTGTTTCTCTCGCATTACCCACCGCCATACCGTGTCGTGCGCCACGATAGTGGCAACTTTCCGAGGCGCACAGATAAGGGGGACACGGACATAGAGTGTTTCCAGAGAGATTGCCGGGCGAATGCGCAACTAGGTTGAGCTCTCGATTTCATGTTGTCAAAGGCAGATTTCTCCGCGACGACGAGGGCAATTTGAGTGGACGGAGCTGTGAAGAGGTGACAGCGGGTGTAGTGTACGGGAACTTTTAAAAGCACGAAACCGAGATGGAGACCGGGAAAAAAAGGAAAACTTGAGGTGCGCAGGTTCACGAACTCATCATTCCCGTGAATAATCCCCGGCAGCAGGTTCAACTACCTCTTATGACAATGCTGCCCGAACCTTTTCCTCCCACCGTTCAATCGCCCTCGCATTCCTCCTCCTCTCCCTCTCCTCAACCGCTTCTGGAGAGGTACCGACAAGGTATTGGGCATCAAGAGCATAACATCCCAGATGTCTCTTTTCTGTTTGTCAACATCATTAATGGTTATGGCATATTCCCTTGATGTGCTGTCGTACCTCTCTCCTCTTGGCATGCTCATCTTCCTGTTTCTTGTCTCCCTTCCGCTTAGCCTCTTTCTGATGACCCGGATTCCCGCTTCTCTTGGCCTTCTTACCACCATAGAACTTCTTTTTTCCCTCTGCCTCAAGATCCCTTAGGACAGATGTGGGGCCCCATGCCGCAAGCAAGGTGGTGGCGTAAGAGATGTCGAGAATAAGGGGTTGGGTACAATGGTGCCATTCAAGACCCCATAGCCAGGGGGAAAGGTTGAGGCTCCAAGCCGCCTGTCTGTAGGGGTCTTCCTGAGCCCTTTGTCATGTCTGAAGATCTATCATGAACGATTAGGAATGATGGTAATGGTATCAACGGGTGAATGGTGAGGAGGTATTTGTTAGGATCCTCCATCTCTTTGCCCTGAATATGGTTTGAGTTCAAGAAGGGGTTGGGAGTTTGAGAGTGTATAAGTGCGGGATTGGGGGGCAAAGTGGTTCGCTCACCCTAAGAAATCTCAACATCTTTTTGTCTAAAGCATCGCAAAATGTTGGGGTGAGGAAGATCATATTCCTCGGATCATCAATCTCTATGTTCATATCCTCCTCCGCAACCTCCTGTCCCTGTCCCCCATATTCTTCCTCGTCATTTCCATTCTCACCCAACAATGCTTGCGCCTGCTCCCCCTCTGCCTGCTCTTGTTTCACCTCTGCCTGTCTTTGCTCCCCTTGCTGCTCCACCGCTTGCTCACTCTCGTTCTCCTCATTTATATTCCTACCCGCAAGGATACGATGGCAGAGGATGGAGTGCAGGTGCTAAGTGGGAATGATGAATGAATGTCTGCATCACACGGATGGAGTTGAAACCTACCTCAGTACCTTTAGCACGAGGGATAAAGTGACAACGTTTCGTGAGAACATTATCTTTGGTGAACGGACATCCCACATAATAGTCTTTCAACCTTGTGTCCACTTTTTGGGCGTGGAGTCGAGTAGAGAACTGACTAATGTGGGACAGATCTCTAACCTTGGGGTCCACAAATCTAAGGGCCCGAGGAGAAACATAAAAAAACCAATCATCTGGATCGGCTCCACCATCCAAGTCATGCATGACAGAATGGGGCTCGCCTTGCTCATACAGTTGGAGATCACCGTGAACACCACTTATGCAGTAGGCAGCATAACATAGCCACCTACGTGGCTTGGTGCAAAGGGCGGATGGAAAATCGGTGTAAGGGATCGCTAAGAGAAGGATGGGTTTTTCTGGACCCCTGTGATGGAAAAAAATGAATACCACTGGGGTCTCTCGGCTTTGAGTCCCCATCATCTTCCGGTTCCTCGAGGCCAGTCTTAAGCTTGGAAATAACCCTCTCTTTTTGGCTTGAACGCCCGCTGGGCGCTACCGCTCCGCGGGGGTCGTCTGAACTGGAGACTACGTTCAGCATTAGCCTCAAAACTCATTCCTGGCGAAGTTAGGTGAACATGTACTTGTTCCCGACGTCGATGCATTTACGATAGTCAATAGCTTGTCGGGGACGAGATAATGACATGCATCTCCATTGTTCTGTTCATATCTCGCAATCGATGGAGGCGGTCGCTCCTCGGAGCAAACTCCAGGTAAGATGTGAATTTATCACGAGGTCTGCTAGCAGCAAACGTTATGAACATCCCCGTTCTACGACCCGTTGTGAAAGGCTGGATGTCGAGACTGAAGTCATTATGATAAGGGACATGGGTGTTTGTTTGATTCCTTGGGTGCAGTGGTGCAACGAGTGGCTAACTTACATCCAACCGAAACGGTTACTCATGTCCTGAAGTGACTCTCGAGAAGACATTTCATTTCTCTCTGTTGGGCTCCGAAGGACCGCTACATACTTGACTAGCTGAATCCGGATGTCTTCGGGCTTATCCGCGAAGTTTGCGCGAGGTTTCACATTCCATGAGATAGAGTTTCCGATCTAAGGGTTTGTCGCACGGGGTACGCACCAAGTTCGATGCTCTAACGAGTTTCTCTTCTTTGCTGGACATTTCGAAGGTGGGGGCGATTGACCGAAATGCTGGGTGGTGTGATGTATGAGCCAATACGTCGGAAGCTTCGCAAGTACAAGGTAGGGTGTTAAGAGTAACCGATACGCTAAGGAAAGTCAGACTGATGAACGTGGTTTTGAAGGGGTTGACTAAGCAAGGCATCTGTGGCTCTCGGGATTGTCTATTGCAAATTGGGAGCCGTGTGCGCGGAGCACGTGGTCACCGTTCTCTGGCGGAGCTCAGCCTCTTTCTCTTCGAGGCTGGTCACCTGCCTAGGGGCTTAGGGATCTGGATTCGTTGCGATAGGAGTGGGGATCGAGACTAAATTAAAATTAAGAACACGCGTGTGGACTTTTCTCTCCAAGGAGTTTGTAGTTGGTGGACTGTTCGACCTGGGCCCTCGGGGATCATGGTGGGAGTATTGTCATCCTTTTGTTTGTTCCAGATCGGAACTGATGACTGTCTCGGCGAGGAAGATATAGGCAGTATCGGTGGGCCGCACAATGCTCGCAAGGACAAGCATACTGCATCTGTGAACCTTGTGAATCGTATACACGTCGGGCGGAGGTATTGACATTGAGGTACCCTTGTTTGACCCTTCGCCTTCTGCCTCGTTGGGAATTTGCACGAATTGACCGAAGACGTCAAGGAGCATCTGGGGTCGCCGCTTGCAGGGCGTGCCGCATTCTCAGTTTCCTGCTATGTCCAGGTGGGAGGAATATATATATTCTTTACGCCCCTTTCCCTTCTAGTTCGCATCTATGGCAAAAGAGGCTACGTTTAATTCGGTATGTGTAACCTTGAGCCACTTGAGGGAGCTAAGTGTTCCCATTCTTATGCATGTAACACAGACCCTGTCAGCTCGCCGTTATGGAGCTAGTTCAACGTCACGGCCAAGTCTTCAGCTAGTTGGAACGTGCCGTGCGCGAAGCAGACAGTAGTAGATTGCCTACGAATCGATACCCGACGGGCTCTTTTCACATCATGTCCACGCAGCTCACATGCTTTTTATTCTCCATGTTTTCATACCCTCTTAATCCACTGCTCGTTACTAATGATTCTTTATCCATTCAGGCTTAGTCTAGGCACCGCTTGAGCCGCTCCACTTAGTCGACTGGATCTATGTTGTGAATCTTCGGTCTTGCAGTGCTGAGGGAGTTTGACATATGCCCTTCGACAAGTGGGATTCCGTTTATTTGCAATAGGGGCTCATTGGGTGTTCCCGTGATTGGTTGGTTCTCTTTTTCACATCTCCTGGTTGTGCGCTGTCTGTCCTTGTTGGTTGTACTTATTAGACACCAGGTCGTGTCCTCAATTCAGAAGTCCCGGCGCAAGTCGGGGGTCGTCTTCACAACACTCTTGAGCCGACTCTGCATCAGGAAGACGAAGTGTGTGACATTCACAACCTGTGATGTGACAAGTTGTCTCAGATTAAAAACTTGATCGATTCCTGATTCCTCCCCCACTTACACTGTGCCGTAGCTCGTTGAAATTTACATGGACGCCATGATGGGAAGCACGTGGAATACCTATCCGAATTCTCGGGAAGCAAGCCAACATAGCCCCTACATCAGCCGAAAAACCTGTCTTTGATGTCGCAATTTTGTCTCTGCAACACGGCCCAGGAGGCACCGACGTACGGCTTTCTGTGCTCCATTCCTGCTAGACAGTCGGAAGGGGATATCTGAATTTTCAAGGTTGCTGAAACTTGGCCTCGCAAGTGTGACCATCCGCTGGGATTCAAATGCGCAATCGCTGGTTGCGCTATCTCAGCGAGCTGGGCTCATAACCTATTGTGAGGCTATGTGCCAGTACCTTCGGAAAAGGAGACACTATTTGGATGTATTTCTGGTCCGGACCTTTCTTCTCCGAGGTTCAATGTGAACTCAACACAGGATGCTCCGATCCATTTTCCATCCTCGGACCTCCGTCGTCCCTAGTAAAAAGTACCCCTTGCATGCACTTCTCAGCAACTCACGTCTACTGCAGGTTGCGAGTCAGCGCGCTAGCACCGTCGTGGCGCTTGGCCATATCCAACGCGGCAGTCAGCCCCCCTAGAGCAACGATGTGGACCCCAATTTTTTGCGCATGGCTGATTAGATGGGTGTCTACATTGCTTGGATCATCGACAGGAGTGAGATGTCTCACATTTGGGTGCACTGTTTCCGCTGATGCTGCATCATTTCCAACCGGATTAATGCTTATACCCTGCGTGACCAAACACCGCTATGACTTTTGGGGAGAAGTGCGCACGCTCACTATCTACATATTATCCGGCACCTGCCATCCTCTGCCATCGTCCACAATGTTGATTCTTAGTTGAACTCTGATTGCCAGAAGGGGAAGTGATCAGCGATGGCTTTAGATAGGACTATTCTCCACAGCAGCGTTGAAACCAATCGAGCACCTTGGGCATTGCACAGAGATTGATGGTTTCTAGAAAGCAAATACTTTCTGCCCTTGCGTTCTGGCGATTGGCTGGAAGGGTCCGCAGCCAATGCTCTTGTTGTGAGTCGGGGCATTTGCATGGGGCATTGGACAATACTGTGGTATCGTCGATGTGCGTTGGCAATCGTACTACAACGTCTAACTGTTCTTAACTGAATCTCCGCGCTTATCTAATCGAACTCGATCATCTATCGATCAACTACGCTTACATCTTATGTCGCATCATGCAGCTCAATCCATCTCCCGCGGCAATGCGTTCCAGTCACTGCTCGAGGCCGCGAGTACGGTCGAGCAGCTCGATGAAGTCGTCAGGCGATACAATGCCAACCAGATCCCACTTAGAGAGGCGTACGCCACCCTCTCCGAAGCCGTCGCTGCGGATCAGTCCCTTAACGAGGAGCAGCGCAGGGAAACGCTCGTCCGATACGGCGACGAACTGGAACAGTCAGCAGAGGCAAGGATCCGAGCTCGAGCACGAGGAGACCGTGACCTCGATGGAGGTATCGCCCGACAACAGACCTCGGCCGAGCAGGATGGGACTGTCCAATCGAACCCTAATGTCACGACTCGGACTACCTCTCAAGTCGGACAACCCACCAATCAAGCCAGTTCCGGACGGCTCCGTGGAAACGAGGTTTTCAAACGAGTTGCCGACGAAGAAAGTGTCCATCGTGCCGAGTATGCGTGGAACTGGAAATTCGGGAACGGAGGACCACCTTGGGATGCCAGCGAGGAGGCCATGCTCACCAACGCCGAGAAGACACAACTCCTCAAGAACGCGTACAACACCAACGTCAAACGTGCCGTCCGAAGTCTCATCTGTCGGGGCGGTCAACCTGAATTCCCACCATACCTCTGGAAGGACATCCTTGGGGACCGACTCGTCGACTTCGGACACTTGGTCGAAGATAGGCGCACCCATGCCATCCGATATGAAGACTCCGTTGACCTCGGGAATGGGGTTCAAATCTCGACTGGGTCGAGTAGCCGGAGCAAGACCAAACTGGCAAACGAATCACAATGGACGGAGGCGTGGGACAAATATGTCGCTGCGGTTGTATGGGCATACCCCCACCGTGGTCCGGAGCTCCATGAGTACCACCGTCACATCGTCAAGCGTTTCAGCAGAAACCGGAATGTCGCCCTCAACATCGAATACGACCAGGCTGCAAGGAAGTTCTTCCAGGAAACCCACCGAGCATTCTCCGACATTAATGTGCTCAACGAAATCATCCACGACATCTACCTCGGAGGAGGAGACCGAGATACCCGGGGAGAAGGTAAGCCTGGAAAGTCGGCTGGAGAAGCAGGGAGCGACAAGGCGACCGGAGCTGGGGAGAATGTCACCAAAAAACGAAAGCGTGGCAACAATGATTACCCGATCTGCCGAGAATTCAACAAAACGGATGGATGTCGACGCTCCGAATGTCGCTACCTCCACAAGTGTGGATCTTGTGAATCCAGTGCCCATGCCGAGCCAAAGTGTCCACAGCAAAAGGAGAAGACAACCACAGGATCTCAATGAGGCCGAGGAGAAGAGCAAACGACCAAGATACATGAGGTTCGTGTTCGGTCAGCATGATATTGGTCAGACACCATCGGCATCGTACACTGAGAGTGCTCAACCTGTCCCGA